ACTCTCGCCTACCGATTCTGTACCCCGCTTACCCTCACGGGCCCACGATCCGTTACTACCCTGCTGGGGCCGCCATCCTCTTCATATCTGGCTCTCCCGGTACCTGTCCCCAAAGGTCTCCTCAGCCACTGGCGGGCCTGCTCGGAGGTCGTGACCTGGCCCGGGGACTGTTTCAAGTCCATCCCCACCATCAGGGGCTCTGGTGAAAGCACAGCCCGGCTTAGACCCCACGCTCTGAGTAGGTCTGTCAGTTGGCAGCCTGAGGCACCACCTGGCGGATCATAACACTAAGAGCTCAGTTTTGGAAAGATTGAGTTTGAGGAAGTGGAGTGACATCCAAGCCGATATGTCGCTTAGTAGGTTAGTAATGAGAGAGGAGACTGAAGAGATGAGGTGAGGGGTAGAAAGATAGATTTGTGTATCATCAGCATAGAGATGGTACTTAAAGCCATGGGAGTTTATCAAGTGCCCAAGGAAGGAGGTGTAGATGGAGAAGAGAAGAGTTCCAAGGACAGAACCTTGAGGGACCCCTACAGAAAGAGGGAGTGAAGAGGAGGAGGCAGCGTTATAGGTAATGCTGAAGGAATGCTGCGATAGGTAGGAGGAGAACCAGGAGAGAGCAGAGTCTCGCAGGCCAAGGAAGTGGAGTTTTTTGAGGAGGAGGGGATGGTCAACAGTATCAAAAGCCGCAGAGAGGTCAAGTAGTAAGAGTACGGAGTAGTGGCCATTGGTTTCAGCAGTTAGTAGATCATTAGTGAGTTTTAGTAGGGCAGTTTCAGTGGAGTGTAGTGAGCGAAAGCCAGACTGTAAAGGGTCAAGAAGGTTGTTGTCAGTGAGGTGGGAGCTCAGGCGATTGTAGACTAAGCGTTCTAGGAGTTTAGAGGAAAATGGCAGCAGGGAGATGGGTCTTAAGTTGTTCAGGTTGGTGGGGTCCAGAGAGGGCTTTTTAAGAATTGGAGTGATGTGTGCATGCTTCAGAGGGGAGGAGAAGGCACCAGTAGAGAGGGAGATATTGAAGATGTGAGTGAGGGAGCATAGGATGGAAAAAGAGGGTGACCATAGTAGTTGTGAGAGGACAGGATCCAGGGGGCAGGTGGTGAGACGGGCTTCTGAGAAAACCTTAGTGGCCTCTTCGGTAGTAGCAAGGTCAAAAGAGGAAAGTTGAGGGAGGTTTAGTACAAGCTATGCAAAGTGGGATGGATATCTGTGCAGTGGCAATGCCCCTATGAATTGCGTCAATCTTGTTTCTGAAATGATTTGCAATCTCGTGAGCAGTGAGTGAGGTACTGGGTGGAGGTGGAGGTTGAGAAAGTAGAGAGTTAAAAGTAGAGAAGAGACAACGAGGACTGGATGACAAGGTATTAATAAGAGTGACAAAGTAGGCTCGTTTGGCAGCATGAAGAGAGGAATTGTATGTTAAGAAAGCAGCTTTATATAGGGTGAATGCTTGTTGAGATTTGGTTTTACGCCACAATCACTCCAGCACACGACTATGTCGCTTAAGATTTCTGGTATCGTCAGTCTGCCAAGGTTGTAATGGTCAGGGCCTGATGCTTTGTGTTGTTAGAGGAGCAAGTGAGTCTAATGTGGATGAAAGCGAACTGTTGTAGACAGCAGTGGCCAGGTCAGGGGAGAGGATTGCAATACTAATACAGGTGTACCTCAGCTTACCAACACCTCGGTTAACGTAATTTTCGGTTTACGAATGAAAATCCATTGAAAATAATGCCTCGGTTTACAAATATTTTCATAATTTTTTTTGCAATAGGAAGTGTATGTCGGTGCTGATTTTTAAATGCAATTGCCGGCCTTTTTTTTCCCTCACTATAGTTCACAAGCTTAGATGTCACTTTCACTGGAGTTACAGGAAACTTTGTATCATTTAAGAAACTAAAAGTAAACATTGTTTCCTTTAGGGATATAAATTCCAAGAAAACTTTCTATTTTAGCTTGGGGAAGTGATCAGTTCCAGAGTGGAAAGGAGCAGGGTTCAAGTTGTGAAGGTTTCTGCAGGTAATTGTTTGCTGCTTGGAGGGATAGACTCCTGATATCTCTGGGTAAAATGCTGCTGTCTGCTCTCTAAACTGCAACCTCAACAACGCATAGACTCCTGCTAATCTCAGAACAAATAGTGTATATATTTTTGTCTGTGTTGATTGATTCTCACCTCTCGTTGCACGTTTTATGACTGTGGCCTCTGTCTGGTCTGTGTTTGAGAAACATCCCCCCCCCAATTCATGTGATCCTTATCAGTTCCTAATTGGGGCAGAGAAGAGTGCTCATTTGACCATCTCCCTATAAATTTAGATCAGCTCATGGGAGGGGGTCACAGGCGGAGTGCTGGTTTCTGCATGAGTGCAGTTTTTGATGGAGTGCTAAGAAGCAGTTGAACACAGCAGTTTAACTAAAGCAGGATAACTCAAGCAGCAGGAAGATACAACAACAAGAAACTCTACTGCGTATTGGACAGACTGCAAGCAAACACCCTGGGAAACATCTCCTACAAGTCTGAGTCCCACTCCGTGTACCTTTTAATATGTCCCCTCTACTCCTGCTTTTCATATTACTATCCTGCGTTCCCAAAATCTCACTTCTTTACCCCTCTGCTCCACCCCAAAACTTGTACATCTCACCCTCACTGCTACCATCTCCCTACTACTACTCTCATCACCTCCTGCTGCTACTTTACTCTCCTGCTGACCCAAACACCAGGACTGGAAGGCATGTGCACTTGTATACATCCCGCTCCCATGTTACTTTCCTCACCCTTCTTCTTCTCCTAACCTCTGGGGATATCTCCCTAAACCCTGGTCCTCCAAGTATCTCACCCCCACACCAGGCATTCTCTTTCTTCCGGGAATAGCCACAATCCCCTCAATTTAATATCCATCCCCATGCTCCCAAAATCCACCCTCCCTTTTTCATGTGCACTCTGGAATGCCCGCTCTGTCTGTAATAAGCTCACCTCTGTCCATGACCTTTTTGTCTCCCGCTCTCTTAACCTATTAGCAATTACAGAAACTTGGCTTCAAGCAGCAGATTCTGTTTCTCCCACAGCACTTTCCTATGGAGGCCTCCTCTGGATCCACTCACCCAGACCCAGTGGTCGGAAAGGTGGTGGAGTTGGATTGCTTCTATCCCCATTCAGCACCTTTCAGGTCCTCCACAACCCTCCCTCTCTATCCTTCTCTTCTTTTGAGACTCACTGCATCCAATTGTTTTCTTCCATTTCTCTGAGGATTGCAGTGATCTATTGGCCTCCTGGACCTGTGTCCCGCTTTCTTGATGATTTCTCTTCCTGGCTACCCTACTTTCTCTCCTCTGAAATACCCACTATCATTCTCTGAGATTTTAACATCCTATTAATGTCAACAACCCGGCTACATCCCAACTCTTCAACCTAACCTCATCTTTTGCATTAGCACAGTGTATACAGTCCTCCACTCACTCTGATGGGAATACATTAGACCTTGTTTTCTCCCATCTTTGCACTCCCTAAAACCTCACAAACACCCCCTTTCTTCTCTCTGATCACAATCTCATCACCTTCACAGTGTCCTCACTCCCCCCCCTCTCACTTCCATTTCTCCTCCCCACCCCCTTCTATTTCTCTCACCCACCTAGCTCCCCCCCTTTTACCCCCCTTTCTCTCTCTCACCCCCTTTGCTAACCCCCTCTGACCCACTTGTCTCTCTCACCCCCCTTCTCTCACCCCCTTCTCTCTCCCCCTCTCTCTCTCCCACCCCCTTTTCTCTCTCACCACCTCTCTCTCCCCACCGAATTTCTGAATTACAATAGTAACAAATTTAAACTAATATGAAATAACAAAACTAAATTTCGGATTAAATTTGAATCAAATTAAAAAACAAAGCCAAATTAAAAAAAAAATGTGACATATAAACATTTGCTGATTTCCATCAAATACTTTGTGTATTAGCGTTACAATATAGCTGTCTTTTGAATTTAGAAAAGAATAGAATAAAACAGAACAGAATAAAAAAAGAACAAAATAGAAAATAAAAAAATAGAATAGAAAAATAAAGGAATAGAAGAAAAGAATATAATAGAACAGAAAATAAAAAAGAATAGATATGAGTAAAACAAAAGATAATAGCATAGCAGATAAAAGAATAAAATAGAATATAAAATAAATAGATTTGAAGAGAATAAAATAGAAAATAATATAGTAGAATATATTTGAATGTAAAGTAATAGAATAGAAAATAAAAATAGAATAGATTTGAGTAAAATATAAGAAAACAAAATATGAAATTTGGGCAGCACAGTGGCTAAATAGTTAGCACCTCTGCCTGGCACTACTAGGGTCGCTGGTTCGAATCCCAGCCATGGCTTCACCTGTCTGGAGTTTGCATGTTCTCCCCGTGTCTGCATGGGTTTCCTACGGGTACTCTGGTTTCCTCCCATACTCCAAAGACATGCTGGTAGTTTTGTTGGATCCTGTCTAAATTGTACCTAGTATGTGAGTTAGGACCTTAGATTATATGCCCCTTGAGGGTTAGGGACTGATGTGAATGTACAATACATATGTAAAGTGCTGCATAAATTGACAGTACCTACATAAAAGAATAGAATAAAAGGGAATAGATTAGAAAAGAATAGCATAAAACAGAATAGAAAAAAAATAGAATAGAAAATAAAGGAATCAAATAGAAAAGAATAATTAATGAGAAAGAAAATAAATTAATATAAAAGAACAGAATAGCATAGAAAGAATATAATTGTCTTCCTGACGTACTTGACTTCTGGAACATAAATTGTCATGTAGTGGGTGGGGAGGAATGTAAGTGGTCGGTGTTTATCTCCAGGGCATTACAGTACAATACAGGAAGCGCCGCCTATCACATCACCTCAATTCTTCGAGTGGAACACAAGTGCTGCGCGCGCGCGCGCATACAGGCAGTCACGTGCTTTTCACCAAGATGGCGGCGTCCAGAAACACAACGTGAAGCTAGTTAGGTTGTTCAGCAATATCCAGTGAGATGTCACGATTAATCGTAAAGAATCTCCCTAACGGGGTATGTATTACAACTGGGATTGGTTAGTACGGGCCGTGTCATAGCGACGTGACTGAGCACGGTGTTCCAGCCTTCCATACACCGGGTACAGGATGGCCCCTGTGCTCACTTCATGTTAGAGGCAGTCTCATGGGATGTTCGGCACGTCGTTTTAGCTGTGTGGCTCCGTTTATTCGGATGCTTTTCATGAGCCCATGTTGTCATATGTCCATTAGGTCTTCAGTTGTCGTAGAAGTGTAAAATCGCTCATACCTGGTGTCAGCTGAATGGGGGCAACAAACCTGTCATCTCTAGCCAGATAATATGTTTCTGCTTAGTGAGGAAGCTTTGTGAACGTTACTCTCACGTTACAGTGCTGTACTAACTAAAGCCAGGGAAGGGTTACAACCTGTACTGGGGCAAGGCCGGCCAGTGCCCAGGGAAACATGCCAAATTGTGCCCCCCTCTCTGTCATCTGTGGACCTAATTGTATTCTGATGTGTGTGCTCAATTGTCATACACACATGCAAAGTGCAGGGGTCAGGCGTGTCATGTGCACAGGGGTCAGGCGTGTGTCATGTGCACAGGGGTCAGGCGTGTGTCATGTGCACAGGGGTCAGGCGTGTGTCATGTGCACAGGGGTCAGGCGTGTGTCATGTGCACAGGGGTCAGGCGTGTGTCACGTGCACAGTGCAGGGGTCAGGCGTGTGTCATGTGCGCAGGGGTCAGGCGTGTGTCATGTGCGCTCAGTGTAGGGGTAAGAAGTGTGTAAATGTGTGCAGGGGGAAGAAGTATGTAAATGTGTACAGAGTGCAGGAGTGTGTAAATGTGTACAGAGTGTAGGGGGCAGGAGTGTGTAATATGCGCAGACTGCAGGGTTGAGGAGTGTGCAATGTGTGCAGACTGCAGGGTTCAGGAGTGTGTTACGTACAGATTGCAGGTGTGTGTAGCATTCAGAGTGCAGGGATCACAGTGTGTATGTGTACAGAGTGTGGGGTCAGTGTGTAATATACAGAGTGAGGGACAGAAGAATGGAATGAACGGTGTAGAAATCAAATGTGTAGTGTGCAGGAGCCAGGAGTATGTAACATAGAGCATGTAGGGGTCTGAAGTGTGTATTGTACAAAGTGCAGGGGTCAGGAGTATGTAGTGCACAGAATGTCTCAATCAGATTTGTGTAATGTATAGTGTGCAGAGAGTCAGGAGTGTGTAACCTAGAGATTGTACAGGTCAGGCGTATGTAAAGTAATTGTAGGGGTCAATAGTGTGTAACACACAGTGCAGGGTTCAGGAGCATGTCGTGTACAGACTGCAGGGGTCAAGAGTATGTAACATAGAGTGTGTAGGGGTCAGAAGTGTATATTGTGCAAAGTTGGGGGGTCAGGAATATGTAATGAACAGAGTGCAGCAATTAGATGTGTATTGTATAGTTTGCAGGGGTCAGGAGTGTGTAACATAGAGATTGTAGAGGTTGAGAATACGTGAAGTACATGCAGGGGTCAGGTATATATATTCCTTAGTACACAACGCCTCCTATGATTAATTCCACCCTCTTTTTTCATAACACAGTATTATCCCCCTGTGAGGAATTTCACCTACTTACATACATGCGCACACACGTTCTCTGTAGTTGGCTAACTTTCTCTTTGATCCGCTTGTTGTTTTATGTTCTTTTGTTGTGTATAAATAATGGATTCCTGTTAATTGCTTTTCCCCTATATTTTCTATTCGTTTGCGTAGCCAGCAAAAGCAATAGTGTCATCTTAAAGGGGAACTTTAGCAGTTTAAATTTTTTTTTTTTAGAAACAAGCATAACATGGAATTTCAGCTTTTTTTTTTTTTTTTTTCTTATGTCTACATAATGTGGAAAAGTGTTAGAATCTCTGCCCTTTTTATCATTATTTCAGGTACTTATATAGCGCCGTCAATTTATGCAGCGCTTTACATATATATATTGTACATTCACATCAGTCCCTAACCCTCAAGGGGTGTACAATCTAAGGTCCCTAACTCCCATTCATACATACATATACTATGGACAATTTAGACAGGATCCAATTAACCTATCTGCATGTGTTTGGACTGTGGGAGGAAACCCACACAAGGAGAACATGCAAACTCCAGGCAGGTGGTGCCGTGGTTGGGCTTTGAACCAACGACCCTAGTACTGCCAGGTGGAAGTGCTAACCACTAAGCTACTGTGCCGCTGAGCAAAGAGCATCATCTTTTTTTCTCTTCAGGGGAATACTTCTTTTATAATTAGCATGACTGGGAGTGAGCAGAATCACTTCAATGAACAGATTCTTATTAGTAGGGTTTGGAAGCTAAAGGCTAAGATCACCTTTAGTAAAAAAAAAAAAAAAAATAAATGCACATGATTTTGCAGATAAAAAATTTAGCATTTTTTATTTAGGGATTTAATTGATGTGCGTATGTGTCCCTTATAGGGAGATACACTCACTCCCCTCTCACCACCTGTGCATGATCACTAGGAGAGGAAATGAGTGAAAATCTGACTGGCAACTCAACCATACAAAGTGGCAGCGCAGCGCTAAATATAAAATGTAAAATAAGTCCATAAATATCTCATCATAAAGTGCAAATAAGAGTCCAAATAAATGTTGTAGGTGTGTTAGATAAAAGCTGTCAATCCATGAAGATCCTCAATGAATAGGCTATAGGTGATGGTGCTCAAAATGATAGGACGAACAAAGGAAGATCCTCCATCTCCACACCAAACAACCTGCCTCCTACCCTGTGTTTTGACCGCCCAACCAGGAACAGTCACAAAGTGCAGTAAAGATAACACCGTAAATCACCACAGCAGAACCTCCAACTCCTATTGGACAAACCGGCTCCAACCAAGTAGATAGCAATGTTCCAGCATATGCTAATCAAAAGGAAAAAAACATCTCATATTGTAGTAAAGTTATATAAAAGGAGTTTTACTCTAAGGAATCCACTCACATTGAAAATGTTAAAAAGAAGCATTACAATATACCACAATGTTGTTTCCAACCAACAAGATGGCCACCACAGCCTTTTTGACGTCTCACACCGTAACTCCTCCCTACGCGTTTTGTCATCATGGGCGACCATACAAACCTGAGAGACGCTAACCCCCTCTTTCTTAAAAGCAAAAAAGACAAATTAAATGTCTAAATAATTCAGACTGGCAGGTCCCTGCAAGGTAAAAAACCTTTATACCCAACTTTCTAAAGGCCCATGTTTCCTACCTCCCCTTTGTCCATCACTACACCTTCCATCAGTGACTTTGGCATGCAACATTTCTGGGAGTGACACAATTGTTTCCTCACTGGGCTCTGGGAATCCTTCCTACCACTCCTATGTCACTACAGCACCCAGTAGTAATGTAGGGGTTGAAGGAAGGAGCCATGACTTTGAGCAGGGGAGACGGACATCTAAAAATCCCACAACTATCAAATGCTGAAAACACAGATGGAGGCTGCAGCTGTGGAACAGATGAGAGGTAGAACACACAGGCTGGCAGAGAGTAAAGGAGCTTTTCTCTTGCAGGGACCTGAAATTTTGAATTCTTTAAAGAAGGCCTTTACAATGTAAATGTTATCAAAATCTGTTGAATATTAAAAATACCAATTAAATGTAAAACATGTTTATGCTCCTTGCATCTGTATATTTTAATTGGGGGTTTCCCACTTCCAAGCAAGTTCTTTGGAAATTTGGTATTGTGCACACTGCAGTGTATGCAGAATAGTATTCATCTTATTGTTTTTACAGGCAGCATTCTGCCACTTGCCAGGAAAATAATCGGAAGTCATACTGAATGCTGTAGACTGTGTTCAGACTATCACACTACCTTGCTCCCCAGCAACAAATGTGAACTGACCCATTCAGTTTATGGCATACTTGTAGACACTGTATTTGCAGTGAGCTTGACGGGAGTCAGGACCACCTGCCAAGTGCCTGAAAAACTTTCCAGAAAGCTTGAATGAAGACATTCAGTGCTTTGGGATTCAAGATGGGGCAGATACCTCCTTTAGGTTTGGGAATGACATCTTGATCCAGAATACCCCTGGAGTTCTGTTAATCTGACACAGAGTGGTTGGAGGTGAAAAACTGAGGAAGAAGTAAACCTCTAGTTTGTAGCCCCCTGGAAACCACCTCCCTTGCCCAAGCATCCAAGATGCAAACAGTCCATGTGTCTGCAAAAGCTAACAGACATTTAGAGGGGTGGGGGGCATACCGTTCTGCTAAGCAGGAGTGTCAAACTGGCGGCCCTCCAGCTACAAATCCATAATAATAATATTTGGGAGTCATGCTTGTAACTGTCAATTTTGCAATGCCTCATAGGACTTGTAGTTTGGCAACAGCTGGAGGGCCGCCAGTTTGACACCTGTGTGCTCAGGAAACATTGTCTAAGGGTTTGGAAGATTTTGAGCCCTGGAACTTGCAGGTTAACTGAAGGCTTAGGGGGCTTTACACTTGGAAGAAGAAGTGGAGTAACAAAATAATTTTTTTAATCTTCAGCGAAGCATGACTCGATAATGGTATCTAGAGTAGATCTGAAAATATGTTGTACTTTGGAAGGCCATGCAAAGCAAGCACTTCTTTTATGTAGATTTCCAAGTTGAATATTTTAACTAAAGGGTTCTCGGCAGGTGTACTTACAACGTGGATGCTCAACCTGTGACCCTCGTGGAACTACAAGTGCCATCATGCCTCTGCCTTTGGGAATCATACTTCTGTCAGCCTTGCAATGCCTCATGGGACTTGTAGTTCCACAACAGCTGGAGGGCCACAGGTTGAGCATCCATGACTTACAAGAAACTTATGTGTTAGATGAGACAGGAAACCAGCAGCCATTCACAAGTGTAGCTGACAGCTACAACCATTTACACCAAATAATTCTATAATCAAGGGATCAGCCATAGAAGTGATCAGATCTCCTTTAAAAGACAGCCAGGGCAAAAAGAAGGGCCAGTCAACAAAAGCAGAACTCTACAGAGAGCTTAATTTGCTTATGGGTTGGGTCCTTAAAGACAGATGCATCCTGCAACTGGAATGATGGTCGTTTTAAGGCGGGACACTGCCGGATCCACAGTGGGGGCAGACCACTTTTTTTTAATAAAATCCTTTTCAGATGCATACAAGTGTAATAAGTTCTTGGGGGGAGCAAACGTCTTGTCAGAGTGTTTCTAATCTCAATAAAGTCAATAAAGTGGGTGCATCATGAAAGTCTTTGCGGTCTTAGATTCTCTAAAGGACTTTTAGGATTGTCAGAGGCAGCAGGCTGATCCTGTAATCTAATCTGATTTGTCAGAAAGAAGGCAAGCACTAAGGCAATGTCAAGAGCCCTGGACCTGGAAAGCACTCCACTAACTTGTTACCAGAACAGAGTCTGGGAGGTATCTTACACTGAATAATTAAAGCTTACTTCCAGGCTATCCCTGCAATGCCCATCCCAGCGGAGTCTAGACAGCACGCCATGAGCTAGGCTGAGAACATCCACTCTGGATAGCCGCAGTCATACAGACCAGTTGTAGGAGCGATGTAGAGGAGTATTGATCGAAAATAAAATGGTAGAAATAATTACGTTAGTAAAAAAGACTTTTTCTCCTAAGCCACCAGCATGCTGGTAGTAGAAAGGCATCGCCTGGGCGGGCTGGCTGGCCTTCAGTGTTTAGTAATATGACTTGAAGGCTTAAAGTAGTTGTAAACCCTTACATATACCCACTGAAGTGACCATCTTCAAGTGATACACAGAGATAAAACAAATCCTCCTACATAAGTTGTACCTGTTTACATGTAGCCCTTTCTTCTGTACATCATCCTAAAATACACAGATCAAAGGCTATTTCTCAGCAGTATAAGGCAGGGGCAGGGATCTGACTACATACAGAGTTCATTGAGACCTGAACCATAAGTGGAAGGAATAGACACATCTCTTTCTACACAAAATCATGGGGAAATACACACCAGTGAGGCTGTCGGTCACCTGCTGTGTACTGGAGGGGGTGCGGGGGCAACACCCAGGATGCTGTGAAGTTGTCATGGACTATTAGCAGTAACTTATGAGAATAGCAGAGAGAAATGATACTCGGTGCTTTGGACTGAGACTAGTACATGCTGAAGCTTTGTTCATTTTCCACACATCTGCTTTGTTCATTTTTCATGTTAGAGGTTTACAATCACTAAATGGACAAGAAAGACATTACAAGTGAAATATTGCCTATGTTTTGACAGCAGTGCATACTTTTGATTAGTTTAATTTCTCTTCATAAGTGTGGGTAATGCTTAAATTATGTAATACATATTTCTTTTTTTTTCTCTTGTGCTGCTTTTCATACAGATGAAAGAAGACAGATTCCGTGACCTGTTTGCAGCATTTGGGTCTTTAACAGACTGTACCCTCAAGTTCACAAAGGATGGTAAATTCCGAAAGTTTGGCTTTATTGGTTATGGCTCCGAAGAAGGGGCCGAAGCAGCTCTTAACCATTTCAACAAAAGCTTCGTTGACACATCCCGCATATCTGTGAGTTATGCAAGTAATGTGCATATTTGTTTTTGTTGTGAAAGTAACATTTTCCTTGTAAAAACTGTGTTATTTTTCAAAGGTGGAAATCTGTAAATCATTTGGGGATCCTTTGAAGGCCAAAGCTTGGAGCAAATATTCCAAGAAAGAAGCCAAGGAATCTGCCAAAAGTCAGGATGCAAAGCAGTCATCAGGCGACAATATAAAACGGTAAGATCTAAGATGAAAACAAATAAATTCACATAATTTACTTTATTTATAGCAGTAATTTATTTTACACATGAGATTAATATATGTCGGGACTATAAAAAATATCAAAGTATATACAAAAGTTTATTAAAAATTATAAAATGTAATTGTATAGTATCACGTTAGGTTTGAATGTGGATTTTAATTTTTAAAGAGACCCTGTCAGCTTGCGTATGCAGAGTAAAGTGTTCTTGCAAAGGGCCCCCTCTAGCCTACTTTCCTTACCAGGGCTTCCCTGCTACTCCCTTCTGATGCAGTTTAGGAACAATCCCTGGCACTGACTTGTAGGGAGTAGCTTGTGACCACCTCCGGAGGTCCAGCAACCAAGAGGGCTGTCTCATTACAGGGGGAGTGACTTCACTGCTTCCGCAGGCCACCATTCTTTTCAGTGCTGGCTGCAGGAGAGGAAGAAGCAATGAGGGATCCCTGGTAAGCTATGTAAATAGGGCTTTTGCAGAGTTAGTCACTTTTGCCTTGCAAAGGTAATGTGACAGTGTCTCTTTAAATCCTAAAGTGTAAACTACTCTGACTTTGATGGTTCTCACAGTTTAAAGGTAATGTAGCTTACTTCAGCCTTTAAAGGCATGGCAAACATTCCTACCCATGTGTTGTGTTTTTCAGTTGCATAAGATGTGCATTCACCATGTAGTTTCATGGTATCATATGTTGCACTGTATGCATAGCCTATAGTTGAATAAATCTTTACATTCCTGTGTCAGCAGGCTCTGTTTGTGTTGACACTTGAGGCATTTCTTATGGCTCTGCACAGGTTAATGTATGACTGATGTCTGTAGTGTGAGATCTGACACTTCCTGTGGGGAAACTACATATCCCACATAATCCCTGGGTCTGCACATCTAGCGTTTGTGCAGGTGAGAACTACACAGTAAATTGATCTGTCACAGACACAAGCAGGCAGAGCCTTCATGAACACCTAGAGAGCTCACTCATGCAGTGTTTTATTACATTCCCACTCCTTCATTTGTGATTCAAAAAAGAAGGGATGGCGAGGCATGCATTGGACACTGTGGGCCCGGAACAGGAAGTTTTCATATCCAGTTAGTTAGACTTCAACTGTCATTTTTTTAGGTGCATTGAGTATCTGGTTCAAGGGATTTTGCAGTGATAATGAACTAGATTTTTTCATAGTTTGAAAATGATCGCGGATGGGACTTTAAATTGATACTAAACCTTGCATTAAGGTAAAAAAATGTTTTCTATTTCTCTGTTCTCTCCCTTCCCTGTGGGAAGCTATTGGCTCCTGCAGCTGTCAATCAAATGCAATGAAGAGGAAGCTGGGGGCAGGGTTAAGTCCTGCTGTCTTTGGAGTGCGACTCCATAGACACACAGCGCAGGAGCGAGCAGACACCATGTGCCCCTATGGCAAATTTCTTGCTATAGGGACACACAAAGAAAAGGAGGAGCCAAGATCGCCGGTGTGGAACCCGAGAAGAAGAGGAGGACTGGGGCCGCTCTGTGCAATACCACTCACAGAGCAGGTGAGTATAACATTTGTTATTTTAATTTAAAAAAAAAAAAAAAAAAAAATTAGACTTTAGTAACACTTTAGGAATTTTTTTTTTTTTTTACATTCTTTATTTAAGTGAGGGTTTCACCAGGGAACATCAGTCCCATGATAAACCATAAGTGGGGAAAAACTTACAAAATTTCACATAGTATGTCAGAAAATACAAGGCAGTTGGTCAGATACATATTATAATCACTCAAAGCATAATGACATGCGTAATGTTAAAAGAACAGTTAAATGTGTTGGCATAGAATGTCTGGCAAACCATTATTTTGTAGAATTTAGAGAATTATAGGGTATCTGGGGAGCTAGGGCCATAGGATGAAAAGGTAAGGCTAGGGGACAGAAAGAAGGTAAGAGAGGTGGGGGCTCCGAACTGAGGGAGCCTAGAAGAATAGTAGCTTATAGTTAGAGTTGTATTATTGCATACTCAAACAAATTTAAAACTGCAGGTGCATCCATCTACTACACTGGGATAAAGAAAAAGGAAGCGACAGTACTCGCAAGAAGGGAAACTAGATTCTTAAAAAAAATGTGTTTGTATTTGGAAGAGCATTTACATTTTTCCAATAATACAATTCTTTGGTCTGATAAAAAATCATGTCTCTGAAAGCCACGGTAGGATTTTCCATCTCTTGGCTGTCATTCACCCTGGTAAACCATTGTCACAATGTTGGTAGGTTTGGACTTTTTTGTAGGAGCTAGGGACATAAGCCCTGTCAGCATTTACAATGGTTCTACAACCTTAAGGTTTTTACCTTAATGTATCCTATGCAATAAGTAAGAAAACCTTCAGCCCCCTCTTATACTTACCTGAGCCTCATCGTGATCCAGTGCTGTGAACGAGAGAAGCAGCTCTCCCAGTTTTATCCTTCCTTACAAGGCAGATTCATAGCAACGGGAGCCATTGGCTTCTTCTGCTGTTAATCAAACTATGTGTCTATGGACACAGGCAGCGGGGTTTGGGAGCAAGCTCGCACAGGTGCCCCCATAGGAAGAGGCTTCCTATGGGGGCACTGGCTAAAGAGGATGAGCGAGGAGCGCCGACAGGGGACCCTAGAAAAGGAAGATCAGGGCTGCTCTGTGTAAGACAATTGCACAGTGCAGGTAGGTATGACATGTTTGTTATTTTAATTAAAAAAAGCCAAAGCTTTACAATAACTTTAATAGGGGAATCAGTGGAAAGTTCTCGTATCTCCTGTGGGACATTGGTGTAGGTTAAGAAGCACAACAGGGGGGTTTTCAGACATGGAAAAACCTGTCAGTTAATAATCTCCTTTACTGGAGGACAGAAAGATTGCAGTGCAGGGCAGTCCCAGAAAACATGTAAAAAAGAACCTGTATGTGTTTCACAATGCCAACATAGGGCACTATACTGTGTAAAGAGTTTGGCGACGGCTGATATCCTATACCATCTGGTCATGATCTTGTAAGAAGAAATCTCTTAAAATGTATTGCAGATGGAGACTTTATGGACAAAGAAGAGTATCCTTCTCTTTTGAGCCTCCGTAAAAGTGAGCTGTAGGTTTTTCTCCCATTTATGGAGAAATCCTGGGTCAACCTGTGAGTGTGCATTCACAAAGAACTGATATGAGAGGGACAGTTGCATCCCCCTTGTGGTTAGGCGAATCTCTTCAAAAGATGTCAGTTCCCTGAGGAAAATATTGCAGTTTAGGAAGAGATTGTAGGCAGTGGGATAATTGGTGCTCGTTCAAACAGATGTTAGGGTTTACAGTTTCCTGTACAAAAGCACAAAAAGGCTTTCAGTTTTTATATGGTAGAGGTAACTCATATGGTACATTACAATACAATTTGATAGTGGAGTAGATAACAAATCATCACAACAGATACATTTTTTTAAACAGTAGACTGTCTTTGGGCTTGTTATCTAGTAACCTGAAAGCATAGCTCAAGAATTAAAAGCTTGATTCAAGCAGGTACTCATCTGCTACAGTATTATGTTGCTTATTTTATTGACCTCACGTCTAGATCAACTAATTACTGTTACTGTTTTATTACGAATATTTTTAGGGCGTATTTTCAAAATCCCTGGAAGACGCTTCTGTGTTGACCACTGGTGGTGACAATACAGGCAGTCCTTATTTCAGCCAGTTTGAAATAGAAAATCATTCTGTTTACAAGACATCTGTCATACTGTTGCTTGCCTAACATGATCATTGCTTAATTTTTTTCAGTTAAAGAAAAAGAAGAATTCAGCTTTAGAGGAGGTACGTTTTCAGCTTGTTTTAAATATGGGGTCTTCTTTGGTATCCGTATTCATGTTTTGTTTTTACTAACTGTTTTTGAGACTTTTTTATAATAAATAAAATACTTTTAATAATACAAAACCGTTTCTCCAGTAGTTGTACACAATATAGTTTCCAGTGTATTTTTTGTAACGTGGTTAGTAGAAACTTTTGGGTTCTTACTCATTTGTACAAAAAAAAGGCAACCGTCCCTACCTATAACCAGCCTTAGCAGCAAGGTGCACATAGAAGAGCAATGCACATCACAAACAACCAAAGGAAATCCCAGCAGACTTGCCAGCCAGCCTGCAAAACAACCAATTTGGCACTATCTAACAGTTTGCTTTAAAAACAAAGGATTTTGTTTGCACACATTTGCAAATATATGTGTAAACTGCAGTCCTGTGAAAAGGGTCCTTATATTGTGAACCTAATGATAAAAATCTCCACAGCCTCCACAATGGGAGCACATGCATAAATAGGTGGGTTAAGGGCAGGTGTGCCTGGAGGAGCCCATCCCTCCTTAAAGGTACAGGCACATGACGCCTAGCTATAGCAAAATGACAGCAAAGGCATCCAGTGCGACCCTGCATCCAGTTCAGCCAACTGTACAAACATGGCATGTGTTGTCTTATCCTAGTCCTCATATAAGAAATGAGTTCATAAAATTCAGTTGAGTCTCACAAAAATGCAAAAAAATGTCTAACAATCCCAAAAGTATGTTATAAATTCACTCCAGATATAATAATGCATGCATGTGAATGTTAACCACTGCAACAGTTACAAAAGTATGTGGTAGTGCTGTAGAGGAACACCTTCAACCACCCACTAGCCTACAGGGCACTTTTACCCCCTTCCTGCCCAGGCCAATTTCCAGCTTTCAGCGCTGTTGCACTTTGAATGACAATTGCGCGGTCATGCAACACTGTACCCATATGACATTTTTATCTTTTTTGTGACAGAGCTTTATTTTGGTAATCACCTCTGGGTTTTTTATTTTGTCTTAAACCAAAAACCACTGAAAATATTGAAAAAAAGTTTTTTCTTAGTTTTTGTTATATCTTCTAAGTAAGTGATTTTTCTCCTTCACTGATTTGCACTAATGAGGCTGCACTGATGGACACTGATAGGCTGCACTGATGGACACTGATAGGCGGCACTGATGGACACTGGTAGGCGCACTGATGGGCATTGACAGGCATCACTGATGGGCACTGAAAGGCAGCACTGATAGGTGGCACTGACTGGCACTGTTAGGTGGCACTGATAGGCAGCACTGATAGGCGGCACTGATGTGCACTGATAGGCGGCACTGACTGACACTGATAGGCGGCACTGACTGACACTGATAGGTGGCACTGATTGGCAGCACTGAGAGGTGGCACTGACTGGCACTGATAGGTGGCACTGAAAGGCAGCTCAGATGGGCACTGATATGTGGCATTGATGTGCACTGGTAGGCGCTGAAATGTGGCATTGATGTGCACTGGTAGGCGCTGAAATGTGGCATTGATTTGGCACTGATGGGCACTGACAGCTGGCACTGATGGACACTGACAGGTGGCACTGCTGGGGCTACACAGATCATCAGGGCACACTGATCATCAGTGCCCTGATGATCAGTGTACATGTCCCCTCTGAGGGATGGCCGATGCCACACTGACAGCTCGTGAGGAGAAAAATGCCGATAACCGGCATTTCCCTATTTTACATGAGATCAGCTGTGATTGGACACAGCTGATCACATGACCGAGTCGACATCTTCGGCTTTTTCCGTTGATCGGTGATCGGACACAGCGCACCGCCTATCGTCGTGCTGCACGCTCCTGGAGCCGCGCATGCGCGGTTAGAATGGGAGGACGTCACGTCCTCCCAAAACAAGAGGACCGCATTGCGCTCGTCATTGTACTATATGGCGGGCGGGAGGCGGTTAATAAACTCACTCACTTGCTATCCATTTCTTGATCATATAATATCCAGTTTTGCAGCTGAGTAGACAATCCTTTTGATCTCTCTTGCACAGCCAAGTAGAATTCATGTAAGTTGTTGCAGGGTCAGAATCCCTGGGAGAAAGATCACTCTAAATCTGCCAGAGTCCCAGGCCCACTGGCATTCTGACAGGCATAAGATAAAAATGGGAGGATCTACCAGCGCACTGTTAAGCCGGCCATAGTTTGAATCTTGGCCGGTTCAGTAGGAACCTGCTGAGATTCTGTTTCAATATTTTTATTACAAAGTTTTGTTTTAAGAATACAACAAGCTCAAGATACGCCCATGCAGGGGCAGAGCAGAACAATTAACGCCTAATTAGATACATCCTGCTAACTTGTATTAGCCAAATAACGGAATGTCCAATGACATCAAGGAGGGACAGCAAAAAACTGAACCAAATAATAGCAGCAGCAGCAATCCATCATATTACTGGAAAAAAAAGAGGAAAGAAGAAGAGAAAATTAAAAAAAAAATAATCAGAAAAAAAACATGGAGGAAAGGAAAACTAGAAGAATCACGGATCCCAGGCTAGCACAGGCAGCGACTATAAGAGGCCATAACTGGTAGGAGGCAGGGATGGCAAGGAATAACGTATCCAAGCTTCCCAAACTTTAAGGAATCTCGGATGAGAATCATGAAGAACGCTAGACATCTGTTCATTGAACATAGCATTCATGCCAATTTCTGCTGAGACCTAGACAGACCCTAAATTGGGCAGTGCAGGAGGGCCACCCTTGCATCCTTTACAGACCGTAATATGAAATAGCGTTTGTAGCAAACCAAAAACCCTAGACCAGAAGCCTATCAATCGCGGGCACGACCACCAAATGTGCAATACGTCCCCACGTAGACCACAGTTCCGGAAACCCTTATCTCCGCCAGTCGGATTAAAGTGAGCAGTCCGAGCCAGGACCCAGTTCCACCGCAGGAGAACTTTGTAGGCTGCTTCAAGAGTGACTGTATTGAATGAACATTTCACCACCATCCCCCAGGCCCTACGCCAATCCTCCGTCGCAATCGAGACACCCAGATCTCTCTCTCCATTGAGAGACATAAGACGGGTGATGAGGAGTACCTACTGTTAAGGGAGGCATAAATTACAGAAATGAGACCAGGGGACCCTGGGGAATGCTGACAGACGTGATTAAAGGGCGTTTTGCGGTAAGGATGGAGGGATAAGACCCAGTGGCGCAACTGCAAATGGACCTGCTGAGATTCAATCCATGATAAGAGGTTTATGAGCCCCAAAAGGTGAGAAACTGGTGTCAGCAGCAGAGGCGCCCAAATATAAAGGAGAAGCTGAGAAATGGATTCTTCGTTGATTCAATATTTATTGCTCACAGAATACTATAAACCGCCATCAAAGCGTCATGGCACTACACTGGCCACTTCCTCATGCATGGAAGGTGCATATAAACACTGATAAACAGAAAAATATATGAAGGTAAATGAGATAGAGATAGAGAGATATATAGATATAAAAAACGTGTGTGTTTGTATGTACACTATATTTCCAAACGTATTGGGACAGCTCTTCAAATCATTGGATTCAGGTGTTCCGATCACCTCCATGGTCACAGATGTATACAATCAAGCACCTAGGCATGCAGACTGCTTTTACAAACATTTGTGAAAGAATGGGTCGCTCTCAGGAGCTTAGTGAATTCAAGCATGGTAACAGGTTGCCACCTGTTAAATAAGTTCATCCATGAAATTGCCTTGCTACTAAATATTCCACGGTCAACTGTTAGTGGTATTATAACAAAGTGGGAGCAACAGCAACTCAGCTAAGAAGTGGTAGGCCAGCAGATGCTGAAGTGTACAGTGCACAGAAATCGCCAACTGTCTGCAGAGTGAATAGCTAAATACCTCCAAACTTCGTGTGGCCTTCAGATTAGCACAACAGTGCGTAGAGAGCTTCATGGAATGTGTTTACATGGCCGAGCAGCTGCATCCAAGCCTTACATCACCAAGTGCAATGCAAAGCGTCGGATACAGTAGTGTCAAGCCGCCTCCACTGAACTCTATAGCAGTGGAGACCTGTTTTCTGGAGTGACATATGCTTCTCTCTCTGGCAATCTGATGGACCTGTCTGGGTTTGGCGGTTGCCAGGAGAATGGTACTTTACCTGACTGCATTTTGCCAAGTGTAAAGTTTGGTGCAGGGGAGATTATGGTGTGGGGTTGTTTTTCAGGGGTTGGGCTTGGCCCCTTAGTTCCAGTGAAGGGAACGTTTAAGGCGTTGGCATACCAAGACAATTTCATGCTTCCAACTTTGTGGGAACAGTTTGGGGATTGCCCCTTCCTGTTCCAACATGACTGCGCACCACTGCACAAAGCAAGGTCCATAAAGGCATGGATGAGTGAGTTTGGAGTGGAGGAACTTCACTGGTCTGCACAGAGTCCTGACCTCAACCCGATGAGAACACCTTTGGGTTGAATTAGAGCGGAGACTGTGAGCCAGGCCTTCTCATCTAACAACAGTGCCTGACCTCACAAATGCACTTCTGGAAGAATGGTCAATTATTCTCATAGACACACTCCTAAACCTTGTGGACAACCTTCCCAGAAAAGCTGAAGCTGTTAAAGCTGCAAAGGGTGGGCCAACTCAATATTGAACCCTACAGACTAAGACTGGGATGCCTTTAAAGTTCCTGCGCGTGTAAAGGCAGGCGTCCCAATACTTTTGGCAATATAGTGTATGTTATCTATTACAATGATTATCAATTTCAAATGAACAAACATCAATAATACAAGTTCACATGGTAGTCAGAAAAACAGTCTAACAAAATATGATCAATATGTAAACGAAAAGGTAAAATAATATAATAATTTACACAACATATACGTAACTCTTTAAATTTTCACATGAAATATGAAAATGTGATCACTCATAAAAAACAAGCTTTGCAATATAAAACGTCAATATCAATATGTGTACAGCAAAACATAAACTTCATTATATAGAGATTCAGTCCATGTATGGGCAGGCTGATTGCCCTAAGCGATCCATCCACCTCCTGGGTACAACTAGCATGTCAGATTTCTAGCTTCCGGTTATTGCCAGAGGCTGCAGCTGCTAGCTATAATTACTCTGTTCTCCCAGCAGGGACGGCTCACATTGCCCCTCACCAGGAGAACACAATATCTCCACGGGAGGGATTCCCCTATCAACACTGACTGTGTTGATGCGGGAATCAAGCAATTTTTCTTTCATGCAAGCCTTGGTTGCAGGAAAGAAAATTGCATCAGCCTGCCTTAGATATTTGAGTTAATGAATGATATTTTTGAAAGCTTTATTATAGACAATTATGGTACAGCTTCCTTACAGTGATCAGAAAGTCTGTTAGAATATTAGAGAAGCTTTTACAGATTAGTGTCATTTCATAGGCTCTCTAAAGGCAGTTATAGATGGCTTGAATTCCATCCTTTTTAGCTCTCAAATTTTTTTTTTATAGATTTCTCCCCAGCCATAGATGGTTTGTATCTCAGCCTGTTCAGCAGGAACCAGATAAGATTCGAACCATCTATTGGCAGGCTGATTGTACCCAATTTGATTGTTGTATGACTTGGGTAAAGCCAGCATGTTGTATTTTATATGCTGATATAGCCAGTGGCTATAGCTGCTAGCAATAGTCATTGTGTTCTGCTGGCAGGGATGGGTCCCCTCCCCATGGTTGCAGGAAAGAAAATTGCATGGTCTATGGTCGTCCTAACAAATATATTGGAGTACAGTGATGATGCTTTGTTTGTTAACCACACCAGTTTTAACAACATTTTAATAAAGCAACAGACCTGGTAGTTGACTGAATATGGAGACTTGTTCTGCTGAGAACCATGTTTGTTAAAGGTTTGCTAAATTCATGTGTTTTCTGATACAATATTTTTTTTGTGATATGTGCAGCTGGAAAAAGACAGTGGCTTCCTAGAGTTTCTTACAGTGCATCAGAACAGGAGCAAAACCGCAACCTGGACTAACGATACAAAGGTGGAGCCAGAGAAAGCAAAAAGTCTCCCACGGGATGATTACCTCAACTTTGACTCTGAATCTGAGCAGGAGGCAGATGATGAGAATGAGGATGATTTAGAAAAAGGTAAGCCGCAAACAAGGGATGTGGATAAACTTACAAAGATACTTCTCTTTTTTTAAATTGCTAAGGCACAGAAATAATATAAAGAAATAAGTAAACGTTACATCAGGGAATAATGTCATCAGAATTACAATTATATTCTCTGTGACATTTTTGATTATATCATTTTTATACTTGAAAATCTTTAATCTTTTATCACATTGAAATACATTTTGCTTGAATTTTGAACTTGTTGAACAAACTGCTAGTATTCTGCTAAAGAATCAAGACTAATGTGGGATCATTTCTGAACAGTATTTTGGTCTCCTGAAGTGTGTTATTGTCAAAACTTACCCAACGTTTTGATCTTTTTTGTTTCTAAAACATTCAAGCACAGGTAAGAGTATTCATGGGCAGGAAAAGGCACCAGCCTCTTGTACTACAGTGGTTTTTCCTGCTAGTTCTATAAGCTGCATTCTTCAATCCGCCTCACACCCCTCTGCCACCGAACTGGCCCAAGATTGTTTTTACCTTAACGAACAGCTTTGGCAAATACTATACTAATCGTTATGATTTTATAACTCCACCAATAATTTTCAACTAGATCTCTGATAATTGATGAGACTTTACAAGCTCACATCTCCACTTTAACTTAGTACTGGGAAAGACTAAAAAAATATTTTCATCCATTTTACAGCTGTTTTCATGTGTACGTGGTAAAGGAACTGGGATTCCCAAGTGGCAGGATACCGGAGTTCAGTTTTAACAACTGGATTATTGGGGACCCAATGGGATTTGTTGCTAGCTAGTAGGCCCATGGTGATAGGAACTGCAGTAATAGTAGTATCACATATACGTCTTTTGGTTAATCCACTTTTAGATCGAAATACGGCTGGTTTAGCAGGGACTGGCAGAATTTGGATCAGTGTATGGGCTGGCTGGTTGTACAGAAGATGATATACTGATCCACTTCTGTACAACCAGCCTGTTGTTTTTTTTGTAGTCGATCAGTGCGCAAGCTATAGCCGACAACACTGTATTCTGATGGCAGGGAAGTCTCACTGCTGTCAGAATACAATAGCTCAGCGGGAAGGATTCCTACATCAAGTTGGGGGAATTGGTTAATTTTTTTATCGTTCATCCCTTTTGAGCCCATGTCCACTTCTAGTTTTTCAAACATTCCCTTACAAATATATATCAATTTTGGGCCAATATATTTTTATGTTCTTACACTGTCAGCACAATGGCAAATTTCTAAGTGTGAAACTATGCCTAACCCCAATAACATAAATAATTAAAAGCTAAAGCCAACACTGGAAAGTATTTCAAAAGTCAAAACAAAATAACATTGCAGCACTTATAATTCTAACAGATTAAACACCTATACCTTAAACTTGCCAAAACATAAAGAAACATTAAAAAACTGTGCCATATATTGATATAATAGTCCCAAAACACAAAGGTCCACAGACTCCAAACCATTCAAAAAATGTTTTCAAATTCTATCTTCAGTAAGATTACTGACGCATATGACTTAATATTCACAAGGTGCACTCTCAAATCTGTTTACCTATATCGCTTACCTTCAGAAATAGACCTCTTACAACAGAAAAGGGTCTATAAGAGCATTTGTCATCAAGGAAGGAAGGAAAAGGGTGGAGTTTCACCACTCCTCATCAACTGAAACGTTAACGCATGAAAGGATTCTCATTCACTGTTTCTTCTAAAGATGACAATAGCGCAAAGAGAACTTTAAATCCTAGTGTTCACTGTTGTCTTAAATAAAATTAATCCACTCACAAAAATACCGTGCTTCAAGTGCAATAATCCAAGGTGTTCATCAAAGTGCTATACACACTGCAGTAATTCAGTGTGTTCATTCTACACCCAAGTGTATCAAAAATGTTAACCTTTAGCAAATGACCCCTTAACTTACAGAAGGTCCAACAGAGGTATATCTTTCAATAAGACCAGTCCTGCCTGCAGTAGGCAGCTCAAGGGTTAATCACTCCACTCCTTTGCAAGTAACTGTTTTTCATAAATAGACCTTTTACAACAAAAATGTTCTATAAGCGCATTTGTAATCAAGGAGAAAAAAGGAGGATTAGCACTGCACTGTTGTTTTGCTCAATAATTATCACCTCAATGGAGAAATTTATAGTGAAACACTATATGTAAGACAGGGATGTCGTTCCCTTGGTGGGTGGAGCCTACCTTCCACCAGGTTTCAGCAGTGAGAACTGTGCTGCGTGCATCCAGATGTGGCCATTCTGGCCTCCAGAAACAACCATAAACTACTGCTGTTTTTTGCCACAACCAGGAATCTCCGAGTTCTACCGAACAGGCAAGATCCATTATTTCAGTGTCTATTCCATCCCGTTTCTAAAGCTGGAAACACATGGTTTGAAAATTAGCGGGTTCAGAAAGGACCAGCCAAATTCCGATCTCTGTGTAGCCCCCCTGGTTCCAATCGGATTCTTTCAAACGGTCCTGCTGGAAAACCTCTTTTTTGATCAGCAGCTTGCTGCCAATTGGCTGTCAGCACTGATCAGTGTATTCGGACACCAGAGGAGCCCTGCTGTCAGAATACAATAGTAGAGCAGGGGAGATTCCTGCATTCACTTCACTTGTGTGTATGCAGGAATCTGTTAAAATGAACTGTGTGTACCCAGCCTGGCTTTAACAGCATGCTTGTTGAAACCCAGGTTGTAAAGGATAGAGTGGATTATGTGTCTTTTGATTCCTACCTAAAAGCCTCTTCTATTTGAGATCTATTATCACACCTGGAAATTTTTTGTCTGGTGTGAATAGACTCATCAGTCTCAGAGATTACTCTGTGCCTTGCATTCTGCACTTCCTACAAACAGGCCTTGAATAGAATTTGGCTTTAAAGTGATTCTAAACCTTGTCTTTTGGGGTTTTTTATTTTGGTTTTTTTTTCTTAAATACTTATCTGCTCTGTGCAATGGTTTTGCACAGAGCAGCCCCAAACCCCCTATTCTTGGATCCCCCTGCCGGTGCTCTTGGCTCCTCTCTTCCTATTTCTCACTTGTACGGGCTTGGTCTTGAGTGGTGCTGCCTGCATCTGTAGACACTGTACAAACAAATAGCAACTACCCCAATCTATAACTTGCCTTTGCAGCAAGGAGCACATGGATGGGCGCCGCATGTCAAGCAACAACAGAAAAAAAGTGCGTCTTATGGAGCGAAAAATACGGTAATATACACATACTGGGAATTTTTATTTACCAAAGACAGGTAGCAGAATACATTTTGGCCTAAATTTTTGACTTACTTTGAGTTTATTGGGTATTTTTTATAACCAAAAGTAAAAAATATAATTTGTTTTCCCCCAAATTTTCAATCTTTTTTTTCATTTATATCACAAAAATAAAACAACCCAGTGGTGATAAAATACCAGCAAAAGAAAGCTCTGCGGAAAAAAGGAAATACTTTTCATTTGGGTACAGCGTTGCATGACCGCGGAATTACCAGGTAAAATCGCACAGCGCTGAATAGCGAAAAATGGCCTGGTCATGAAGGGGGGTAAATCTTCCGGTGCTTATGTGGCTATAGAAAATATTGTAATTCAATAGGAATGAAGTGATCTACACTGACATAATACATGATACAGGGAGCTCACTTCTCCGCACTTTTAGGCTTGTAGAATCCATTTCGTGAAGGCCCTTTTAAAAAATAACTGTGTCCCTGTACATAAAGATGTGGTTTTACCAGTTTGATACAAAAGAACTTGGGTGACCTTCAGGGAGCCTTGTTCTAGGACCCTACTGAACTCCTTTGAAATTAGTTGGAATGCCAGTTGTTAACTAGGTCTTCGAGTCCAACATCAGTACCTGACCTCCCAAATGCTTCTTTGGATAAATGAAAGCAAATTCCCACAGATACACTCCAAAATCTTCTGGAAAACCTTCCCAGATGAGTGGTGGCCAGTAAAGCCACTAAGGGAGTGATAATTTCATATTGGTGCCTGTGGTTTTGGAATAGGATGTCCAAAAAGCTTGTTGAGGTGTGTTGGTTAGGTGCCCACAAACGTTTTGCTATAAAGCATATGTCTGTTTTAGATTGTTTAAGATGTGGTTGTTTACTGCTTTTATGGCTTGTCATACTTTGCCCTATTTTGGTAATACATTTTTTACTGTGATAGAAATAAAAACTATGTTTCACTGTTTATCAATAGATGGAAAGCTTGCATTGCAGACTGGAGTTTCTGACATGGAGTACCTTAAGTCTAAGGTAGTACCGGATGCCTCATCTGGAAATAAGAGTGAGGCAGAACAAAATGAAAACAATAAAGAAACTGATCAGAATACTCCAAGTTGTAAGAGTAAAAGTCTGGCACCTTCTCCAAAGAACAAAGCCACAAAGAAAGAGGTAAGTGAATGGCCTTGTTCACCCTAATGCAGTTTCTCCTACTTCTGTGGTCACACTGCAATTCATAGCAGTGGAAATCACATTCTGGTATGGTGTCAGTTCACATCAATACAACATGGTGCAGTCTCCTGAGGTCTTTTTTTTTTTTTTTTTTTAGAAATCAGTTTTATTTCAGCAGCTTCGTCTTACTATGTACTTTTTTGGTACGTGTTCTAGTAGCCAATTACTTCTGTTTCAGGAGCCTGATTTTTCAATACGTTTTGCACATTTAGTCTTCGATGCAAATTAATATATTTTTATATCAGGGCTTGACAAATTTGCTTTTAATCTAGGAGGCAGCTAAAAAAAGTTAGGGGCCATTTTTTTTTTTTTTTTTCCCCCACACATGGCCAGGACTGGTATAGTAAAACGGGAACACTGACCACACATAGGACTAGTATAGTTCAAGCACCAGATCTAGAGAGCCCTCATAGGGAACTCAGAAAAGACTGAACAACTTCATTTTTCAGAAAAGGTGCAGGGACCTTTTCCCTGTGTTTTCTGGAGGCGCAGCAGCCCATTCAAATAAATGGGCTGCCATGTCCATGCAAAATGCAGCTTGCTGAGTCGCAGTAAGGGACAGTTCACACCTGAATCACACACAAATGCGGTCTGCGCTCCTGTGCTGCTCAGTGCAGTGCAATTTTCAGCTTATTAATATTAATGGACTGAAATTGCACTGATTGCACAAAAAGAAGTGCATATACTACTTTTGAAAAATACACTGCCAATTTGTTTGCCTGCACTGAATCACATGGTGTCACAGTATCAATCTGCATTTAGAGTGATGTTAGGAATATACTAACACCCGCAACAGACTGCCCACCCAATGTGTTCTGAACACACTGCATTCCCACATGGCTCTTTTGTGGATGAGCCCTTAGCAAGCATGGAGGGAGGGCACAGGGAAACCAGGCTTGATTTTCTTTACTAATTCCCGGAGTTGGTCTTTGCCATAAAATGCCAGTTACCTGGCTGTCCTGCTACTTCTAATCCCCTGCTTGGAACAAAAATGCAGATAAAGATGGACTTTCCTGGTCTGGGTAGAAATAATCTGTGCCATTGGGTCAGCATGGCAGCTAATGGGAAGAATTCATCAAAATCAGGAGCAGGCAAAAGTTGGAGCAGCTGTGTGCAGAAACCAATCAGATTGTTCAGCGAGGCTTTGAAAATGAAAGCTGGAAGCTGATTGGTTGCCAAGCTCAGCTGCTTCAGTTTTGATATGTGTTTTATTTAATGGCAGCTTGACTGTATAACAAATTTGATGGGATTATTATCTGCTGATAGGAAGAAGGCAGTAGGTGGCCTTGGAGGTGGCAGTAGATGATAGATGGGGGGACACTGACCACATGGCATGACACAGCACCACATGACCACAGGCCAGACTCTGTGTGCCGGGACCATGTGACCCCATGGAGTCCCCTTTCTCCGCCACTCTGCCAAGACAATTGGCATCCCCGAGCCTCTCCAACTAGCCTGAGCTTGCCTCTCTGTCACCCCAATAGATCGACTTTCTAGTTCCCTAGACCCCCCAGTATGACCTCACCTCCACAACCCCTCTACACCGATCAGCCGCCAAAGCACGGTCCACTGCTAGCAATAGGGGACCAGTCTTCCCCCCTTTATTCCTTCCCCCTCACCGGTCTACTGCCTCCCACATCTCCGTCATGTATTTGCCACCTTGCTGACCCCAAGAGTCTTCAACAATACTGTACCCAGCCTCAACTTGCTCTCAGGAGTCCCCCTACACAGCTCTCTCTCCTCTCCCATCCGAGGACGGGGGGAACTGTCAGCTCTGGGTTGCATGAGAGAGACTCTCTGAGAGCCCTGCAGCCAGCCACCCCCACTGGGGAGCCACAGTGCAGGCTCTTGGGGCCTCCAAACAGTGGTGGAACTCCAGGGCCCGGTTGCAAGTGCGACCCTAGTAGTAAAGCCACTGCCTGGTGTCCACAGTGAATGGGCTGACAAAAGCTCAGGTGCCAGAATGCAATTTGTAGTTTCCATGGCGACCTGGCACCTGGGATTTTTCGAACCCTGGTTTATATTATATACTCATTATATTTTTTTTATGATTTACAATATATATTGATTGTATTTTTTAACATTCTGTAATTCAGTCAAGAAAACTGAAGATCATGTGACAACTCTGTTATGTGATGTTCTAAATTATGTGGTATATATTCATATCTAGACATAATTTTTTTTTTTTATCATTATGGCTATGTTTTTTGCTAATTTTTGTATCCCTGATGGAGGAGTGGTGTTGCCCCTAAAATGCATTGGCTGTTTTTATATTACTTTTAAACCAACTATTAAAATTAACTTAGATTATTTTTTCCAATTTTGGTCTGTATCTCTATGATTTGAGTTACTGTTGGGTGGCCATCGAGGGAAACTGCTGTGTGGGAGCCACCTTGCCAGACCTATTTTTATTTTGTTTAAAGCTCTTTATCTGACTACACTTACAAGTCCAAACGTTCCCAGCACCTCTTTTAGTATGTTGTTTTTGGTGTGTTTGTGGCAGGGTTTTGTGTTTAACAATCAATCTGCTCCTCCAAAAAATGCATTACGCATGAAAACGCATAAGAAATGCACTACAAAAATACATGATTATGCAGCAGCACTAGAGTGGGATAATTCACACCAAGAATATTGTCTGAACAGATTTTTGTATGTTTTCCCTTTTGTTTCCCCTAAGTAGTGTAATTTCCTTTTAAAACTGTAAATTTTTAACGTTTGTCAGTCTTTCTGGTTACTGTTGAAGATTTCTGCATTTTTAACCATACTCAGATGATTAAAAAATGTTTTTCATTCTTTTTTCTAGAAAATAACTGTTCAGAATGAGCCTACAACTCCGTATACCATTAAGCTGAGGGGAGCACCCTTCAATGTAACTGAAGTAAGTTCATCAGCAGATTTGTCCAAACAACACGTTCCATGGGTCTTTCTATGAACTCTGTTTAGTTTTTTGCAAAGAATTTCTAATGGATCCAAGTCAGGTGATTGACTGGGTTATTCTAGCAGCTTTATTTTTTTCCTTTGAAACCAATAGAGAGTTTCCTTGGCTTTGTGTTTTTTTGGTATCATTATCTTGCTGAAATGTCCACCCTCATTTCATCTTCATAATCCTGGTAGTGGCAACAGATTTTTATCGAGAATGTTTTGGTACATTTTTCCATTCATCCTTCCTTCAACGATATGAAGTTTGCCTATACCGTATGCTGAATTAGAGCCCCACACCATGATGTTCCACCTCCAAATTTCACTGTTGCTATGGTGTTTTTGGGGTGATGTGTGCAGTGTGTATTATGGCATCCAAAGAGTTCAATTTTGGTCTCATCTGACCAGACTATATTCTCCCAGTATTTCACAGGCTTGTCTAAATCTTTTGTAGTAAACTTTAAACGAGCTTCAACATGCTCTTTCTTCAGCAATGAAGTCTTGCATGGTGAGCATGCATACTGGCTATGGCGGTTAAATACATTACTTATTGTTTTCTTTGAAACAATTGCACGTGCTAATTTCAGTTCTTTCTGAAGCTCTCCACAAGTGGTCATTGGCTCTTGAACAACTCTTCTGATAATTCTTTTCACTCCTCTGTCAGAAATCTTGCGAGGAGCACCTGGTCGTGGCCAGTTTAAGGTGAAATGATGTTCTTTCTGCTTCCGGATTATGGCCCCAACAGTGCTTACTGGAACATTCAGAAGTTTAGAAATCTTTTTCTGTAACCAATGTCATCAGTATGTTTTGCAACAATATGGTTGCGAAGGTCTTGAGAGAGCTCTATGCTTTTTGTGTGACACCTTAGTAATGAGACACCTTTTTATAGGCCATCAGTTGAGACTGAACCAGCTGATATTAATTTTCACTGACAAGGGGCAGGATTGCTTTCCTATTACTGATAGATTTCAACTGGTGTCTTGGCTTTCCATTCCTTTTTGCACCTCCCTTTCTTCATGTGTTCAGTACTTTTCCCCTGTGTCATTACCGACGTGAAAATTTCAGGTCAATAGCACCTTTAGAAATATAATTAAAGGAACACTTGGAAAACACATCAGATCTCAATGGGGACAAATATGCTGGATATCTATACTGATATGAACTTGGTAATGTGTTAGGAACGTAAGTGCCCCATTGTTTGATGGAAATTAAAATGATCAACCTACAGAGCACTGAATTCAAAGATACCCCAAAAATCAAAGTGAAAAAATGATGCAGCAGGCTAGTATATTTTGCTGAAATTTCATTGCAGCAACTCGCGATGGTACTTAGTAGTTTGTATGGCCCCCATGTGCTTGTATGCATGCCTGACAATGTTGGGACATGCTCCTAATGAGACGACGGATGGTGTCATGGGGTATTTCCTCCCAGATCTGGACCAGGGCATCACTGAGCTCCTGAACAGTCTGAGCTGCAACCTGGCTGTGTTAGATGGACCAAAACCTGATATCCCAAGGGTGTTCTATTGGATTTAGGTAAGGCGAGCGTGGGGGCCACTCAATGGAATCAATTCCTTCATCCTCCAGGAACTGCCTGTATACTCTCGCCGCATAAGGCCTGGAATTCTCCTGCACCAGGAAGAACCCAGGATCCACTGCACCAGCAAAATGGGTCCAAGGATTTCATCCCGATACCTAATTGCAGTCATGGTGCCATTGTCTTGCCAGTGGAGGTTTGTGCGTCCCTCCATGGATATGCATCCCAAGACCATCACTAACCCATCCCATAATTCAAGCTTATGATCAGAAGGATCAGGTTCCAACAAAGCATGCTCTACTAGATCTGTTGAGTACATTTTGGGCCTTTTCCGCATTGAGCAACATTTTACCAAATTTTCAAGGCTGCCAGCTGGTTTTCTGTTAACACGTTTTCTAAGTTGTACAAAGTGGCCGCAGGGGCCTCATTGCATGTTTTGTACTGGGCAGTACCCAGTTCTTTTCTTGGGCTTATTGGAAGATATTTGCTCTGTTGACCACTCCTCAGTTGGATTTTTTTGGATGTTCTGAAGATTACAGACTTCCTGTGTCCCTCAATAGATGAGAAATAAAAATAGGATTTTTGTACTCGCTGTAAAACACTTTTGGGGTTCTACCCCTCTGTGTTTATGATCATACTTTAGTACTGTTTTTCGTACTGCTTTGCTACAAAACTGAGGCAAGCTGGTGGTGGGAGGCCTACAGTTTTTTTGTTTGCCATGTCCAATATTCTAGTTGCTGGCAGTACACTTGGACACAGAATAACTCAAATCTTCTTGAATGGACTCCAGGAAAAAGTTTTTACGGTGAGTACAATACATGCAGTCCCCGAGTTACAAACATCTGACTTACATACGACTCGTACTTAAGAACAGGCAGCGTGACATCATGCTAGTCTGGAAACTGCCGGACTGCTATTTTGCTGCTCACTGTATGCTGCCACCTACTGTCCAGCAGACCTGTCAGCAATCTCACATCACTGCATGGCCATTTAATCCTTCCCTATGCTATGCAAAACCTAAATATATTTTTTTTGGTTGGAGTTAAACGTAAAAAAAAAATGTACCTGTTCCAACTTGCATATAAATTCAACTTAAGAACAAACATACAGAACCTATCTTGTTCGTAACCCGGGTACTGCCTGTAATCCCACTTTTGTCTTTGTCCCCCATTGTAGAGCTTTATCGTTGCTTATTGCCCTGATGGGAGTTGGGGGAAGATAACCCAAATAGGAATCCAAACCTGAGTCTCTAATTTTTTCCAAAGAAAATAAAATGTTTGAGCTGAATTGGTCTTTAACCACTTCCTCTCCTTAGACCGTGTATATACAGCCTCAGGAGCAAGTGGCTTTACTAGAGTCATGACTAAAGCTGCAGCCATGATCCGGGTATCATTTTTTTAGAGCTGGAGATTGGCTTTCAGATAAAAGTGCTCTGATGGACCTCTGATTTTTTTTTTTTTTCATAGTAACTATCACAACCCAAGCTATCACAAGGTGTGTTTTTCATTACTTGTGATAGCAATAAAGTTAATTTAAAAGAGAAGAATAAAATAAAAAACAGTAAATTTAAATAAAATTTTTTAAAATTTAAAGCACCCTCATCCTCCCATAATCATGCGCAAATGCAAACTCGCATGTAGGTCCTGCATGTATATGTAAACGATGATTGCACCACACTTGAGGTATTACTGTGAATGTCCGAGTCAGAGCAATAATTCTCGCCAGAGCTCTCATTTAACGTTAAACTGGTAATCTATAAAGGCTTTTAAAGTGTCACCTATGCATAGTTTTAGGTACCAGAGTTTGTCATCGTTTCACATGTGTATACAATTTTAAATCTTGACACATCTGGTATCTGTTTACTCAACACGACATCATCTTTTATATTTTACCAAAAAATGTGTTTTGTGTTCATTAAAATTTTTTAAGTGTATTTTTTCCTGAAAATTTCCGTTTGAGCAGTTGTGCAAATATCATGTGACACATAAATTTGCAACAGCTATCATTTTATTCTCCAGAGCCTTTGCTTTCAGAAAATAAACTGTATACTGTTTGGGATTCTAAGTAATTTTCTAGCAAAAAAAGATGCTGATTTTAACATGTATACGAGAAATGTCAAAATTGGCCTGGATGTCAAATGGTAAAAGCACAGGCTTGATGTTTCTATATGTACTTGTATAAGGATTTACATCAAGGCTGTATTTATTTAGGCTAGACTATATTTACATACATTATTAGTTGGAGTTTTGGTGGTTTTCTCAAATCCCTGATCTTTGGGAGTTTACAGAAATGGTTACATTTCACATTGTTTTTCACAGCAGCTAACAACAGGTTATCCCTGCTATACATCATACAGCAAAACCAATTAAATCCCACAAATGGCCTGTGATGATGCAGTTTATGGCATATGCTATATCTATGTGCAGTACATTTTCTTTATTAATGTGTAATCCTGATATTATGGAATGTCTAAATGTAACTATTTTTTTCACAATTTACTTTTAGCAAAATGTGCGTGAATTTCTTTTGCCACTGAGGCCAGCTGCAATAAGAATAGTGAGAAACTGTCATGGCAACAAAACGGGTAAGATTCTGTTTGATCTTGGCTGGTGTTTGCTATTAGAAGAGAAATCTCAATCTTGATTTATGAAAAGTAGAATATGAATATTGCAACTGAACAGTGGTTTTCTTTACCTAAGCACCTGCTGCTCAACCTGCTGCTCTTTGGTGTATGATATGCAGCCTGTAGTGGAAACATTGATTAGGGTAATAGGTAATGATCTCTACTAGTCATATGTAAAACATGTTTCCAGCTTCATGTTGTCTTGTTCAGCCAATCCCCAGCCAAAAATATAGCATGTCCACACTTTCTGACCCTCATTGCCTCTATTAAGTGTGCAGTTTTTCAGCCCTGTAAAGGGCTGCATTTGAGGCCCCTTTTAGCTCACAAATTGACAACCACTTACCTAAGCCATTGAACTAAGTTCAGTCCAGAAAACGGCAAATTGTAATGGTCAGAGGAACTCCATGGGCGGGATTGTCATTTCCATGAGCTGGAACGCATGCCGCTGAAGCCAAATTATTTTGAGACCAAGGTCAAAAACTGGCTAGAGAGGTAAGCCAAACCAGTGTTTAGAGTCAGAGATAATTGTTTGCTATTGCCAGGGTTCATGCCTCGATGTAAGTCTGAGACAGATGTATGAGAGCTAGGATGAGGTCTGTTACCCTGCCACAGTAAAGAAGATGGGTTTTGTGGTCTAAAGGAATAACACAGACAAGAAAACAAGCTGACTGGGAAAAACTGAGTGTGGACACGGTGATGTTTATACAGAGGGACTATGAACCTGATGAGTAAAATGGACATACGGCTAGACACGATGAGGTGGTGCACCAACATGGATATTCAGGATTACAGGCAGATAAATCAGAATTGAGACACTAGGACAATACAGGACCATGAGGCAAGGAAGAGAGCTGCAATACACATTGCAATTGTGCATAGAATATAGGGCACTAACAGGAAGCCGTACACCAGCACAAAGAGAAAACTGCAATAGAGAGGTCCAAAGTGTTTCAAACAGGTACACAGTTACATGAAAAAACCTAAAACAAGGACAGACTGGGAATTTGCCTGACAAACCAAAAGCGGTATCTAAAAATTAATCAGTACAAACCTTTGAATCAAAATGTAATCAATAGCAGCCACAGGGTAGTAGACTGAATACCCATGAGATTACTGGGATAACATACAGGCGAATAAGGACTGGAGATACAAGCAAGACTATCAGGTTGATTTATTAAAACTGGAGAGTTTAAAATCTGGTGCAGTTCTGCATAAAAACTAATCAGCTTCCTGGATTTTTTTTTTGATAAAGCTTAGTTGAACAAGCTGCAGTTAAAAGCTGATTGGCAACCATGCACAGCTGCAACAGATTTTGCACTCTCCAGTCTTATGCAGGCCATAGATGGGGAGAAAACCGGCCAATTTTTCTTTAAAAAAAAGAAAAAATCGGTCGTTCAAAGCGGCCGACGTTACCAGGAACGGTAAAAAAAAAAATCAGCCGATTTTCATCCTGTCTACAGCCGGCAAAAAGTGTCTCTGCAGAGAGCTCCGCTATTTCTTTGACAGTTCTTTGACATTTATAGCGGTTGCAACAATGTATCTATTTGTATCCATTTAGGATACAGATGTTTTTATTCGGAAACAAATAGATACATTGTTGCAACCGCTATAAATGTCAAGGAACTGTCAAAGAAATAGCGGGAGCTCTCTGCAGGGACACTTTTTGCCAGACTGGAATTCCTCTTTTTCTTCATCCTCTTCTTCTTCTTCATACTCTTCTTCATCATCTTCCTCTTCATCTTCTTCTTCATCTTCCTCTTCATCTTCTTCTTCATCCTCTTCTTCTTCTTCATCCTCTTCTTCTTCTTCATCCTCTTCTTCTTCATCCTCCTCTTCTTCTTCATCCTCCTCTTCTTCTTCTTCATCCTCCCTCTTCTTCTTCTTCATCCTCCTCTTCTTCTTCTTCATCCTCCTCTTCTTCTTCTTCATCCTCCTCTTCTTCTTCTTCATCCTCCTCTTCTTCTTCTTCATCCTCCTCTTCTTCTTCTTCATCCTCCTCTTCTTCTTCTTCATCCTCCTCTTCTTCTTCTTCATCCTCCTCTTCTTCTTCTTCATCCTCCTCTTCTTCTTCTTCATCCTCCTCTTCTTCTTCTTCATCCTCCTCTTCTTCTTCTTCATCCTCCTCTTCTTCTTCTTCATCCTCCTTCTTCTTCTTCATCCTCCTTCTTCTTCTTCTTCATCCTCCTTCTTCTTCTTCTTCATCCTCCTCCTCTTCTTCCTTTTCTTCCTCTTCTTCATCTTTTTCTTCCTCTTCTTCTTCTTCTTCTTTTTGTCTTCCTCTTGCAGGTCACTGCTCATGCGCAGATTTTTTTATCGGTAAAAAGATCGGGGTGGGGCCGATTTGCCCATAATTGCCTTGAAAACGGCCAATTTTTTCCAACTTTACCGATAAAAAAAATCTGCCAAAATACCGAAAAAACGGCCGAACAATTAGCCCACTAACGATCCGAAAATTGGCCAATTTTATTTTCGGCCGAAAAATTGGCCGATTTTTCGACCCATCTATGGCCTGCATTAGGCTGGCCATACATTATACAATTTTCTTGAGAATTTTGGTTTAGATTTACCAAAAACCATATAATATGAGGTAAAAACTAACAACACTATCAATTGTATCCAATTAGGCAGGCTCTTGCACTACATAGTTGAAGGTAAATCTAAAGGAAATTGGGCGGAAATTGGGCAGAAATTGGACAGAAAATTGTATAGTGTATGGCCAGCCTTAGTAAACCCGTATATTGAAGGGCAACTCACACAGGGCATACACAATGACTGGAAAAGGATAAGTAAAGAAGTATTGTAGTGGCCAGATCAAAAGCACGGGATTGCAAAGTTTTGTAATGCAAATACAACAGTAGCAAACTTTTTTTTTTTTTTTGTGTGTGTTTGTTAGCTGGCCATACACGTGTAGATTTTCAGACGAGAATATTCGGATGAAAAGTCATACGAAAATTCTTCGAACATATGGTGAGAATGAACGGCTGTTGTCTGAAAATTGTCTTTTGCTTTAACAGTCGACTTTAAAATGAATGTAATTTCTGAATGATAACAACATATACTGGCCGAAAATTAGTTTGATTGAGGAAAGTTTTCCTTCCTTCACCTTCGAATTTTCCCGTCACTGCGGCCGAAAACAAACATCAGTTTGACCCCATTAACGAATAGAAAATCAAATGAATATTCTTGAAGCGAAAATTCTTGAACGAAAATCTACACATGTATGGCCAGCTCTTTTGTTTTTGTTTTTTTTTAAAGCTCAAAAAATGCTGTAAATAGTGGATTTTAGTAGCGTTTAGAAGCATTCGCTTTTTTACAGTACGTCTATGAAAAAGTAGTAGTAGCGTTTAGGAGCGTTCTGCATTTTTTGCTGGGGGAAAAATGCTCCCAAAAACTCGGAAAACTATTTTTTTTTCTGCTCCTAAACACTAAAGCTTGAAACATGCTACTAGCCTAAAATAGTGCTCATGGATTCAGAGGATAACACTACTTAGCTTCTAGAAGCAGAAAAAATGCTGATAACTGCTTCTAGGAGCTTTAAAAAATGCTAGTGTGCATAGTTGCAGAATTTGCTGTCACAAAGGAACTCATAGCTGGAGGCCTTTGGTCTGTCACTAGTTCAGACCTACATAGTGCCATGCAGTATTTTATTGAAAATAGCTGAATGTGTTCCTGCGATAAACATATAAACTCTTGGTAAACTAACAGAAAACAAAACATTGGTGTATTCATTCTTGTACATCTGTTGTCTAGGTTATATCTTTGTGGATTTGAAAAATGAAGATGAGATTAAAAAAGCCCTTAAAAAGAATAAGGACTATATGGGTAAGTGACTGATTATGTGATTTGGGGGATGCAGTGGCATTTAGTTGCTGTCTCTAGGGCTACTTTCACACTGATCCGCAGCATAAACGCATATGCATTTTTGCTGTGCTTTTACCTCGTTTGTGGTGCGTTTTTAACATGACTCCAAAAATTTATTTTTGATGCATTTTTGCGGTGTTTTCCATTGATTTACAAAGAAAAAAAACACACCAAACAGCACAAAAATGCAGCAAGCAGGATTTTTAAAAACGCACCTGACCCAAAGGGATCAGTGTGAAGAGATCCATAGGAATACATGGTCACGCATTTTTTTCTTTCGCTCTTTTTAATGCAAAAGCTGAAGAAAACTGATCAATGTGAAAGCAGCCTGAATCTGTATATGAGCTTTCCATTCGCCTGCAGTGATAATATGCATGACTCAAAAATTTGGTTACATTACAGTCGTTATATATTATATATGGGCAGCACAGTGGCTAAATGGTTAGCACTCCCGCCTGTTAGTACTAGGATTGTTGATTAAAATCTCAACCATGGCACCACCTTTCTGGAGTTTGCATGTTCTCCCTGTGCCTGTGTGGGTTTCCTCAAGGTACTCCGGTTTCCTCCCACACTCCAAAGACATGCTGGTAGGTTAATTGGCTCCTGTCTAAATTGGCCCTAGTATGTGCATGTATAAATGTGAGTTAGGGACCTTCGATTGTAATCGCCTTGAGGGTTAGGGACTGATGTGAATGTACAATATATATGTAAAGCGCTGCATAAATTGACGACGCTATATAAGTACCTGTAATAAATAAAAAATTAATTATATAGGATTTTTATTGGTTAGATATAAAGAACTGTTGTAGAGTCAAGGGAAAGAATTGTTAATGGTTTTTTTTTTTTTATCTGTGTTCTGCATGACTCCACATGCAAATTGCCTAGTTTTGTTAATATTCTCTGAATGTGCCACAAGCAAAGCATTAATTTATTGCAATAATTCACAACTGTGCTGGTTGTTAGCAAACAATTATTTAAATTGGAATTTTACGATAAATATGTGCGTTGTAGAACCATATATTGGTTTATGTGCACACAGGTGCACAGCTTCAGAATATTCAACTAATTTTAGGACAGCATTACGGCTGTGATTTGAAGTGCTCTTCAGGTTGTGGTAGAATGGTTCCAATGGGCATCAGTGAAACAAAATAGCCCGTTGCTGCCTAAACACTTCTCTTGACATATAGACCCTACACGTGTAATGAGTCGCTTGGTTCAGTATACTAATCATTCCCAGTGTTAGTAAGCACTTGGCAGCTATCAAATCTATCTGCCAAAACACACTTAAACATCCTTCTGAACATACAGCTAGGTCCATATATATTTGGACACAGGCACAATTTTAGTTTTTTTCAGGCATTTACCAAAATATTTACCATATTCAAGCTATAATTATATAATGGATATGGGCTGAAAGTGCGCACTCTCTCAGGTTTAATTTGAGGGTATGTACATCCAAATTGGAGGAAGGGTTTAGGAATTACAGCTCTTAAGAGTCGCCATCCCCCCTTTTTCAAGGGACCAAAAGTAATTGGACAAATGAATATAATCATAAATAAAATGTTCATTTTTAATATTTTGTTGAGAAACCTTTACTGGCAATGACTGCCTGAAGTCTGGAACCCATGGAATTACCATAGACTGGATTTTCTTCTTCCTGATGCTTTGCCAGGCTCTAACTGCAGCTGTCTTCTGTGGTTCTTTGTTTGTGGGTCTTTCTGCCTTTAGTTTTGCCTTCAGCAAGTAAAATGCATGCTCATTTGGGTTGAGATCAGGTGATTGACTCCACCATTGCAGAATATTCCACTTCTTTTCCTTCAAAAGCCCCTGGATTGCTTTAGCAGTGTGTTTTGGATCATTGTCCATGTGTACTGTGAAGTGCCGTCCAATCAACTTTGCTGCATTTGGCTGAGTCTGGGCTGACAGTAAATCTCTAAACACTGAAGAATTCATCCGGCTGTTTCTGTCTTCTGTCACATCATCAATAAACACCAATGACCCAGTGCCACTGGAAGCCATGCATGCCTATGCCATCACACTGCCTCCACCATGGTTTACAGATGACGTTGTGTGCTTTGGATCATGAGCTGTTCCAAGCCTTTTCCACACTTTTTTCTTCCCGTCATTCTGGTACAGATTAATCTTAGTTTCATCTGTCCAAAGAATACTTTTCCAGAACTGGTCTGGCTTTTTTAGATGTTTTTTGGCAAAGTCTAATCTGTCTTTTCTATTCTTCAGCTTATGAATAGTTTGCACCTTGTGGTGAACCCTCTTTATTAGCTCTCGTGAAGTCTTCTCTTGATTGTAGACTTTGACAATGATACGCCCACCTCCTGGAGAGTGTCCTTCACTTGTCTGGATGTTGTGAATGGGTTTTTCTTTACCATAGAGAGGATCATGCAATCATCCAACACTGTTTTCTTCTGTGGATGTCCATGCCTTTTTATGTTGCTGAGCTCCCAGTGTGTTCTTTCCTCAGAATGTACCAAACTGTTGATTTGGCCACTCCTAATGTTGCTGCTATCTCTCTGATAGATTTGTTTTGTTTTTGAAGCCTTACATGGCCTGTTTCACTTGCATGGACAGCTTCTTTGAACTCATGATGTAGGTTCAAAGCAATAAATTTCAAGTGCAAATACCACACTTAGAATCAACTCCAGACCTTTTACCTTCTTAATTGATGAAGAAATAACAAAGGAGTAGCCCACACCTGGCCATGAAACAGCTTTTGATTCAATTGTCCAATTACTTTTGGTCCCTTGAAAAAGGGGGGATGGCTACTCTCAAGAGCTGTAGTTCATAAACCCTTCTTCCAATTTGGATGTACATACCCTCAAATTAAACCTGAGAATGTGCACTTTCAGCCCATATCCATTATATAACGATAGCTTGAATATGTTTTGTTAAATACCTGAAAATTTTAAAAATTGTGCCTGTGTCCAAATATATATGGACCTAACTAACGTTAGTCAGTCTCATGTTAGCAGCCTGTTATTGTTAATACTGTAGCAATGTCTTATAGGTGGAAGATACATAGAAGTGTTTCAGGTTGAGCAAGCAAAGGCCACTTCAGTCTTGGAGAAAGTACATAGCAGACCATGGGAAATAAAGAAGAATGATTCTGAGCTGCAGGAGGATTTATCAGAATCTGGAAGACTGTTTGTCCGAAATCTGCCCTACAGCTGCACTGAGGCAGACCTAGAAGCATTGTTCTCCAAATACGGTAAATATTTATAAATTAGTCTTCCCAGTTGGTTAAATATAAATAAAAATGTATGTCGATTTAGAAATTTTATGGCAATAGAATTGTGTGTTTTTTTTCTTCTTTTTTTAATCTTTAAATGACACTAAAGGATTTTATTTTGCGTTAAAATAAAAAAGAGGTTTTACTTCTCTGTGCAATCATATTGCAGAGAGTGGTCCCTTGCCTCCTCTTCTGGAAAGTAAGTAGTCCCTTACCTCCTCTTGCCGCCTCTTCTTCTCCCCCACCGGCGCTGTTCACTCCTCCTTCCTGCACATGTCCCCTCAGCAAGCCGTGTGCTAAGGGGTACCCGTGTAGGCATGCTCTCAATCCAGGTTGTGTGTGTCCATAGAGACACACACACAGTGCCAGTAAGCCACACCCCTGCTCTCTCCTCACAGGAGTTTGACTCCCGGCACTGATGAAGTGCTGTCCAGGTTACAGCACTGATCCTCCATTTCCTGGTGCTGTCATTCAGATAGGTGTTTAGGGACAGGGGGGACTAGGACAGGTAGTAGTGTGTTTTTTTTTTTTTTTTTTTTTTTTTTTTCCTTTTAATGCCTAGAATGCACTAAGGTAAAATGTTTTGACATTAGAACCACTGTAAGGCAACCACCACACATATAATGCACATATTTACATTCTGGGCATTCAAGTTCTATAATTGTTCAGTAACCTATCAGGTCACCTGTCCATGGACAAACATCATACTATAATTCTATTGCAATAAAAAGCTATGATTTACAACGCAACTGTTCTCCTTGTTTCTACTTTCTCAGAGGGTAGACGAATAGATTGTGACGATAGGGAGAGAAACACAGAGAATGGGGCAGAATAACTGCACATGGAATGGTCATATGAGGCAGGTATTAGAAGGAACAGCAAGAATAAGAGAAAAAAAGGTAGGAGGCCAGGGGTCTCTACTTGGTTATGAGACTGGGTGGTTCTGGCTGAATTGGGGTCTTGACATCCTTATAGAGAAACCAAGGTGTCCGAATACAAAAGTATTTCTCTTCCTGGTTTTTCAGGGCTAAGGTGAGATTCCCCATTTCCTGGATCTCACTAATTCTGGTATACCGCTGCTTTTTAGTTGAGGATTAGTTTATTTTCCACATTGTGAGTATACATGCCTTAACTGCAGTCTGAGGGGGGAATTTTTGTAATTCTTTTTTGATAGAGGTGGCAGCGCCACCATACATGGGAGTCCTTGGGGTATATCTGATGTAGTTGCCTAGGGGTCCTGTACCATAATGTCATCTGCTTATATCCATTCTCTTCATATTTGTTGGCCAAAGAAGCTATGTGTGCAAATAGGATAATGCGATCTTTTTGGGCTGGGAAAATGTAGTCTTGTAGGCGTCTTCCCATTTTTGTAAGAATTGAAGGTTTTCTTTGTTGCCTTCTGTGGTTATGGTAAACTAAGAATAAAAAAAAGTCAGATTGCAGCTTGATCTACGCCTAATTTTTCGAATGCATCTGGTAAGATTTAAGATAGGAGCAAAATTTAAAACCTCTCATGAAATCTAGGTCTTTTGGTAGGATGGCATGACTTTGTTTTGACAGGAGAAATAAGCCAGCCTTAAACATACACTTCTGTATTAACGGTAGCAATTGAGGGGCTAAAGTACTCAGAGAGGTGTAGGGATCCCAAGACCAAGGCCATAAGGCTTGGGTAGTAGTCTGAAAAAGGAGTCTGACTGTTTAGCCAAAGAGGGTAATTTGTGAAGTTAAAAGTTGCCAGGTAGAAAGGTTTGACATTGAGGTAAAAAGGAAGGACTGTTTGAGCCCTAACTAAGGCTTTCTGTCTCAATCTAGAAGTCTGCTAAGATAAATGGCCTCATGATATTTTATAGGATCTGAGAATCCAAATCCACCTCTGGAGTTTGGGTGTGTCAAGATGGATTTTTAAGCCTAGCTTTTTTTTCCAAAATTATATATATATATAGATAGATATATAGATATATCAGAAGAATTGGGTTTTTAAGTCTTTTAGCAATTCTGCAGGGAGCTTTATTGGACTGAGCTGCACAGTTTTAAAAAGATTTGCAAACAGGCAATTAATTTTGTTACAGAAAAGACATAGGGGCAATTCACATTTGCCAATTTTCATTTGAATCCATTGAGATCTGAAAATTATACTCATGCGGCTGAAAATAAAGATGCTGATCTTTGTGTTAAAGCTTTGCAAATTGATCTTATAGGATGTAATGCCTGCAATAAAAAGCCCACAACCACTCTCCATTGTTTAATTTTAAATTATACTTTCTCTTTAAAAATCTAATCTTTAGGCTTAAGAAAAACACTGATCTTACAGGAGTTTAGCATTTTGCTTGTAGAAGCAACTGTTATCCTGTGTGTCAATGCACATTAGGTAGTGTAAAGGCGTTTTTTAAGTTCAGTGTTTAGAGGCAAAAAAAAAAAAAATTTTTGGAGAACCTTTTTTTTGGTAGAAAAAAATGTTAAGCGCTCCTAAAGGCTAGTATAGAAACACTCAAAATTAACAGGTTTTTTTTTTTTCTTCTAAGAGCACTGGCATTTTTTTTTAAGCCAGTGTGAGTGGAGCCTTAACCACTCTCTAAAGCAACAACAACAAAAAAAATTATTAGCTATAGATACATAATTCCATGTAATTTATTCATTTCTAAATAAAACAATTGTGTACACTGTACAACACTGCAAGGCTCTTCAACTACAACTTTAACTGTATGTGATGCTAAAGATTTGTCAACTAATGGCTTCTTCTGTTTTTCCCTTTTAGGACAAATTTCTGAGATCCATTTTCCCATTGACAAGCTAACCAAGAAACCAAAAGGCTTTGCCTTTGTTACGTTCCTTATTACAGAACATGCTGTAAAAGCCTATGCCGAAGTTGACGGACAGATATTTCAGGTTAGTCAGTCAAAACTTTTTCAGACTTATTTAGTCTTTGTAGTGTTACAAAGTCTGATTTTTAAGTCTAGGAGTCTTATGCTGAATCTGCAACTTCCTCACTGGCTTACGCTTCTGGTATGACACCAATGAGCAATTCCCAAAAGAAGATTGAGCCTTTGGGGCGTGAAACAGTTGGGAGCCTGGATTTGTGGAGCCCTTATTACTCTTTCATTATTTTCCATTGCATTGTGCAGTAGACAGCTGTCATTATATATTGAGTTCTTGCTGCCAATATTAAGAAAACCCCATTGATATTTACATACTTTTTAAATTGCTAAATTATTTTACCATGTCAGGTTTGTCTATCTTTAGTAGTACTGAATGTAAGAAAGGGCAGGGACTAGTTGGGAAAATTGTTTTTTCTTTAGATATTTATACAATCTTCATCCATATTTCCTGTATGGGTATGGGAATTATACCTATTTTTTGTAAAGGTAATATAAATTACAAGGTGAGGATTTCTGTACTTTGATACATGTGTGCGCTGTGTTGTATCTAGACCAGGGGTGGGCAAACTTTTTGACTTGAGGGCTGCAATGGGTTCATATATTGGACCCGGGGGCCGGACCAAGAGTAGATGAATGATGTGTATGTGTCATCCATAGTAAGTATAGTAATATTCCCCCATAGTAAGTATAGTAATTAATCCCCCATATAGTAATTAATCCCCCATATAGTAATTAATCCCCATATAGTAATTCATCCCCCATAGTAATTCATCCCCCAATATAGTAATTCATCCCCCATATAGTAATTCATCCCCCATATAGTAATTCATCCCCCATATAGTAATTCATCCCCCATATAGTAATTCATCCCCCATATAGTAATTCATCCCCCATATAGTAATTCATCCCCCATATAGTAATTCATCCCATATAGTAATTCATGCCATATAGTAATTCATCCCCCATATAGTAATTCATCCCCCATATAGTAATTCATTCCCCATATAGTAATTCATCCCCCATATATTAATTCATCCCCCATATTAAGTCCCCCCCAGTCCCCTCTGTGTCAATTCACTTACCTTTGCTCCGCGCGTTCCTCTCGCGGTGTTCCAGCGCCTTTCCGGTGTAACATGAAAATCTGTCTCCTATGAGGATCTGTCCCCCTCGACCTATCTGCGCATGTGCCAGTTTCAGGCATTAGCAGCCGATCGGCGATCTCCGGCACATGCGCAGATACGTCGAGGGGAACAGATCCTCATAGGAGACAGATTTTCATGTTACACCGGTCTTCAGGGCGGACTGTTCGAGGAGCCTAGCGGGAGCCTAGCTCCGCGGGCCGGAATAAAAGGTCCGCCGGGCCGTATAGTTTGCCCATTGCTGATCTAGACTATATATTTGTTTAGCTTCTAGATGATTGCAATCTGTAAATAAAACCCAAAGAGAAAATTGCTTGTTGCAGCTGTGAACTAGGAGCAATGTGCTTAGGTACCTCTATTTCTGCAAACATGCTGTCACCTGCACCCGCAGATCTCAGAGTGATGATCAGGAGCCAGTCAGTATGGTTGCTGATCAAGTGAGCACTGTAATAACAAACCATGGTGATCGCTGGATGTTTTTAATAAACTTCCAGTCTGCAGATATATATTATGCCTGTCTTTCTGCATATCAGTAACTCAAATCTACTTTCTGCATTTTGCACCCAAATGGAAATTCCCAGGAGATAGCCATGAGGAACTACTATACTGAGAATGTGTTTCCATCAGGCGTATACTGGCATTTTTCTAAAGCATATAATGGGACATTAACCATCTATTCAATGCATTCAAATCTTCCAGGTGCATGTGTTTTAAAGGATAAGTTCACCTTTGTGAACATGTTACATGTTCCACCTGTTTTTAGGGTGGAACATGTAACATGTTCCCATAGCTGCAGCCGCTGCCCCTGCCCCCCCCCCCCCCCTCCCTCTGACAAGATAGTACCCCCCCCACCTCCCTCTGACAGATAGTATGGGGAGACTTCTTGGGACTACATCCCAGATATTCTGACAGGTCTGCAGGAGACCTGCATGGCATCACTGATCTACTGATCGCTAGTGCAATGCTTTCCAGGCTCCTGTAGACAACAATAATAAATGCACATTTATTATTTTTGTCTAAAAGGTGAATTTATTCCTTAAATTACAGCAAACTACTGCTCTATAAATATCTCTCAAGGAGATAACTGATGTTGCTGCTACACTTAGGATGGGTGTCTAGGCTTTAGTTACCTCAGTGATCTTGCCTTCAGTGGTCATAATGGAATTGGTAAAATAATATACATATATATGCACCATTGTGTTTGTTTCTTTCCATTCTAGCAACATGTGCATTCATAAACTAGTCTTGCTTTTTATGTTGCAGTGTATTTGAGGACAGTTTGGTAAGACTGCTTGTTAACAATAGCCCTGCTCCACAGGGCCGGATGTTGCATGTTCTTCCCTCAACAGTAAAAAAAGAAGAGGAAGCCGAGGAGGCTGCAGAATCCTCCAGATATAAGAAACAAAAGGCTCTGAAGGAAAAAGCCAATAGCTCCAGGTACTTTCTGTAACCCAGGAGAGCTATACATGTTGACTTTTGAGTGAATTGTATCTTACTAGTCTCTCAGTTCCCCACCAGGCTCCACCCACCCAGTGACTGAAGTCATTTTCTAAATCTAGACATTGTGATGACCACTATCCCTTGCAATTTGTTTACATTCTGCTTTTTGCTGGGGAATTTCCTAGCTGATAGTTGAATGGGGTTGGAGGTGCAACTTTGTGTGGCAATCTGTCACATTGATGAGAAACACAGGCGTGCTCCACTTTGAGCACTGGTTTACTTGCGTATGCCAGCTCACAGCTGGTCTTAGTTACTGTAAGACAGTCTCCTAAACTGCAAACCTGCAGTAAGAAAGATAGGAAGCTGTCGCTACCTGTGCGACTGGTTCTTCAAGTGTCAGTAGTTAAAACTGCCTGAATTTGGTGCATGTAACGCTACCGAAACCTGAGCAAATGCTTTCCTGAATTAGGCGCAGGTAGTTTTAATGGGAACTACCATCACAAAAATGTGTCAGAGCTTTATTGAATTCCCCTAATTTTGTTTTTATCTATGTAGGCTATAGCCCGACTTTCCTCTTTCACTGCATGTAATGTATCCCTGCAGTTTATTAAGTTCGTCCAGTTGTTAAAGACCATTTTTTTTTTTTTTTTTTTTTACTGCAGTCCTAGAGGCATACTGCAAGCTGTGATAAATTATCTGTACATTTTGTTTTAGCGCCCACAACTGGAATACACTGTTCATGGGTACCAGCTCAGTGGCCGAGGTGATTGCTCAGAAATACAATACTAGCAAAAGCCAAGTGTTGGACCATGTAAGTGCTGCCCAAACTTTTACCATATTGGGTATAATGAGATGTGTTTTTGTTTTTTATATGTTCATATATTTTCCCTTTTCCTGCAGGAAGGAAAGGGAAGTGTAGCTGTCAGAGTTGCTTTGGGAGAGACACAATTAGTACAAGATGTTCGTCAGTTCCTAATGGAAAATGGAGTCAGTCTGGATTCTTTCAGCCAGGTTATTTTCTGCTATTTATAAAATCATTTGTGATTTGCTTGCTTATGAAAAGTCACAACTATTGCTTCTTTTTTTAATGTTAATTTCTTTATAATTGTATTTTTTATAGTGGTATATGTTCAACTGCATACTTTGGTAATTTTAAACTGTAAACTGGAGGACTTGTATCTCAATGTCACATTTGCTTCTAACAGTATGCTCAAGGAGAATGATGGATACCCTGTATGGTTTCTACATGAAATGTCTTGTTTAAGAAATGAAGGGTAGTTTTTGTAGCTCTCCAGCAATGTGGTGTTGTTTATAAAAGTGACTTATACTTCTAGTATGTTTTGAATGCTTGCCAGTGATTATATAATATGGGGAGATGATTGTCCTCCTTAGTCACAAAGGTAACACCTGGGAAAAATCTGTCACATAATAGGCTTGTGAGCCCTTTCTGTACAATCTAGCAGTGTCTGATGGTCTGTTTTGTTATCTTTTCATTAGGCCTCTGGACCGCGCAGTAAATCTGTAATCTTAGTGAAAAATCTCCCAGCTGGTGTTCAGGTTTCCGAACTACAGGAAGTGTTTGGGCGGTTTGGAGACCTGGGCAGGGTGTTGCTGCCAGAAGGTGGCATAACTGCCATTGTGGAGTTCATTGAGCCAACTGAAGCCAAGCAAGCATTTCGTAAACTTGCATATACAAAGGTAAAGCCTGTGCATTTCAGTTACTGATGCTTAGATTCATTCGAATTTTTCTGGGTGCATACTTAATTTTATTGTACTGCATGTAAAATATACCCACCATATGTGCATTTCTATATAACCATTTTACATACTGTGAAGAGGCAAGATAGATATGAAAATTGATATAGTGTTCTAACCCATAGCAGCCATCACATTTCAGATTACAGAGATTAAACCAGTGAAAAATGCTATGGATCTGTTAATTTGAATGTTTCTGTTTGTCTTATTAAACATGCCTGATCATGTCTGTGTGTAAGAAGTTGACCGTATGTCTCATGTGAAACGCATTGACCATAAAATGTGATATGAATACATTATTAAAGGTTTTTAATGCATGTAAGATATACACATAACATTCAGGGATCTAGACATGCTCCTCCCTGTAAGGCTTTGGTAATATGGTTTGTCTATGAGAAGAAATGTAGAATTTGGATTGTCATAATTTTATTTCATTGCTAAAACTTTAATTTTAAAGTACAGGGCACAGGATGTATAGTAATAGACCATAGGTTTTATGCCACCAAGAGTGCAACAAGTGTAGTTAGTTGCAGGGTGCTTAAACAGATCTAGGGGTATGGTCCATTCCTAATGGCACCCAGACCCTGAAGGCTGCTTTGGGGGTATGCCCTCTGTAAAGTTGTGTCCCCTCCAGGAACCTGCAATGTGGACATGGTAAGACGTGATTTCCCTGCAATTTTGACTATGGGCTCAATTCACAAAGCGTTATATTCCATATTAAAGATCAGAGGTAAAATAACTTGTGGTGTTTTTCAAACTTTTATTTTTTTTTGCAGTTCACAAAAAAAACGCTACTAAAATAAGGCATGAGTTTTTTCATTGACGTGTAGTATTTATCTTATGAAACTGTTTGGTATTTTATCTCATGATGTGATATCCAGTGGGATGGATACAATGGAGAGGATTTAGAAACCCTGTCAGTTTTTATTGCTCTATGTGCCCCCATTAGGGAGAATCACTCTCTCTATTGTTACTGTCTCTCATTATCACTGAAAGTGAAAGGAAAAGAAATTCCCATATTGTGGGAAATCTCCCCAATGGGAGACCTTCCATTACTCTATCCAAAATGAAAAAAAGTTTTGTCTTTCATTACATTTTAAAGTCATGTTTGCTGTGATATTTGGCAAAGTCATTGCTAGATCTTTGGACAGGTCTCTTGTTAGAGAATAGTCTTAAGTCATTCTCTGATGTTCTTGAAAGTGTCACTCTTGTATGGTATCCATCTATCAAACCTTCACACTAACTCCCCTCTCCTAACAGCTTTTTTTAAAAATACTCATCTATCACTTATCCGATTCTGTCTTGTGAATATTTGCACAAATGATAGCTATAAAAATAATTGTGATAATGTAAAGTATCCACACTACATATGACATGTATTTTAAGTAGGGATTAGACCATTGTGATATGCATGTACATTGCAGGGTTGTGGAAATTTTTTAAAAAAACTACTTGTCCAGGGACTAAATCAGTGCTACGATCTACTTGTCTCTCATGACAATCTACTTGTCCAGATGAAAAAAAAAAAAATTTGAACCAAAACCATATTTAAATCTGAGGTGCTTTTAGGAATGCCTGGGGCTTTTAAAATCAAAAGTGCCTTTATGGCGACTTAAACGTGTAATAATTTAACATTGCACTGTTTATTTCCTCTTCCCCTCCCTGCCTCTCTTCAGTACCACACCTGGGGACTAGCAAGGAGGGGAGAGACCTTGCAGTGTAATGAGTACCGATTGGGTGCTTGTCAGGGAAGGGGGAGTGATGGGCTTATCCTTTATCCCTTTCACTGTCAGAGCCATTTTTGCATTTTTTTGCACACGGTTAAAAAATAAATTAAGGCCTGAAGATTACACAAAACCTCAAACATTATATATTTTCTGAAAGCAGAGACCCTAGAAAATAAAATACTGGCAGTTCCAATTTTTTATGTCACATGATATTACCGCAAAATTTCAGTAAAAATGTTAATTTTAATAACGTATTTGGGTAAAAAAAAGCAATAAATTACCCTATTTTTTTGTAAAATATAAAAGAAGAGGTTGTGCAGAGTAAATGGATATCCAACATGTCGAATCTTAAATTTGCGTGCACCTGTGAAATAGCGACGAACCTCAGTAACCCGTATTTTCTATAGGCAACACTTTTAAAGCCCCTTATAGGTCATCTGTATAGTGTACGGAGGAGGTCTCATGCTAGAAATATTGCTTCCATTCTGGTGTATGTGATGTTATGTGCTTGGGTATAACTTTGATGTTTTACAATAAAAACCTATTCAGGCTTCCAAAACCAGAGGCTTTCACCCACATTTTTTTTTATTACATCTTTATTAATTTTTTTTTTGTTTCATGCAATCCATTTTTAAACCAACAACATACAATATAAAAATCTTTATTTAATTACAGTCCCCGTCCCGATTTTACCCTTCCCACACCCTTCCCACACCCTACCTCTTCGTTTTGTTTTCTTGATCCTTCCATTTACTTCTTGTTCTTTGTTTGTTGATCTATTTCACTGTTTCTCCTCCTTTTCATTTTAGTGATAAGGCTTTTGGCTGCATTTAGGAGATGGAACAAAATTGTATTTTTATATTGCTTCACCGAGAGCTCTGATTTATAAAATAAGCACCCTTTGCTGGCTGTTATCCGGCCCTTGGAGCACTATTCCTAACACTGCCACCAAAAGTGGGGCATAATTCCCCCCACTGACACCAGCAAAGGGATACTATTCTTCCCACTAATATCAATGATGAGGCCCTATTCCATCCACTAACATCAATGATAGGCCAATATTCCTTCCAGTGATAGCAATGCTGGGGCACTACTCCTCCTACTGACCACAGGCACTATGTAACTGAACACCATACCTGAGACCTTGTTTACTCTCACTGATGTTGGCCCTGAGACTTTTTCTACCCCAGCTGGCCACAATCTGACCCCCCTAAAATCTGAAGCACAGTAAACTGGCCCTTTGGAAAGTTTGGAGAACCCTGCTCTAAAGGATACATTTCATCCTCATTCCTTAGTGGCTGTGGGAGCTTTGCAACAAAATGTCTTATTTGACAATACCGCCACTCATCCAGTGTAGAAAATATTTCCTTCTTATTCTTCAACTCGTGAAAAGAACATAAAACTCCTCTATCCGCAATATCTTTTAAGCAGGTATTTTTATCTATTATCCGCTTCCCTGAGATATTATCATTCCCGCGTGGAAAAAACCTTGTTCCCGCCAATGGAATTGACAATGAATTAAATTTCCAATCCTTCTGCTTATTCCAAATCCTAAATACATCTTGTGTCAAAGTGCTTGTGTCCTCATCCCAAGTGTGAAATTCCTGTGGTATCCAAATAAACTTTTCTAATGGTGCCTTACTAAGTAAACTTTCCATTCTTACTCAACCTCTCCCCTGTGCATTGTGTATTATATTTCTCCGACCTATCCAAGACAGCTTTCCCGTAGAAGCGTTCCTCAGTTCATCCTTTATCTCGTTTATTAGTGGGATATAATTTGCCTGATATAAATTTTTTTATAGACGACGTTAGTTTTATTTCCAAATACTTTAATTCTTTTTCTCTCCATTTAAAGAGGAACTCTTTTTGTAGAATTCGTTTCTCTGCCTTTGGAACATTTATGTTTAACATCTCACTTTTTGAGTTATGGATTTTCAAATTTGGATAGCTCTCCATATCCTATCAATTTTCTCATTAAATTTGGTACTGATTATCTGTGGTTTTTAATATAGAACAGCATATCCTCTGCATATGCTGTTACTTTATGTTCATTGTCCCCTATCCACATTCCCTTGACTTAAACGCCGTTTCTAATAGTTGCTAGTAGCGGTTCCATAGAATCCACAAACAGCAACGGGGACAGGGTACATCCCTGTCTTGTTCCATTATACATCCTAAAAAAATTTTGATAATGAACTGTTTACCTTCACTGCAGTGGAGGGACTTCTATAAAAAACTCTTTTATCCACTGTATCATTCTAGGTCCGATTTTTAATGTTCTGAGCATATCGAACATAAATCCCCAATCTACTCTATCAAAAAGCCTTTTCAGCGTCAACTGACAGAATAATTCCCAGTTCCTCTCCTCTTTTATTCTTTTGCAGGATAAGCAATGTTCTTAAACCGTTTTCCTTTCCCTCTCTACCCAGAATAAATCCCACTTGATCTAAGTGTATCCACTCAGACATCAACTCTTTCATCCTGGTGGCTTGCACCTTCACATACGATTTTTTGTATCAGTATTCAACAAAGATATGGGTCTATAGCTGGTACACTGAGACTAATGTTTCCCCTCCTTGGGTATTACTGTGATATATGCCTGTAACGATTCCTCCCTCGTCTTTATCTCCTTTCCTAGTGCGTTCATATATGAACACAATTTAGGGACTAGATGTTTTTAAACTTCTAATAGTATCCTGGATTAAAACCATCTGGTCCAGGACTTTTTCCTACAGCTGTACTCTTTAATGCTAAATTGACTTCTATTGATATTGGGTTATCTAAAGCTGCTAGTCTGGTTTTATCCAAACTACGTAGGCCAGCCTTTTTCAGATAGGTCTGCCTCTTCTTCTTCCTCTCCTCCTCTGATTCCTTCTGGTTCTTCCCTTCTGCTCCATATAAACCGCTATAGTACCTCTGGAATGTGTTAGCAATATCGGTAGTTGAATAAACCATTTCACCTTTTTCATTTTTTATTTTATTTATAAAGTTCCTTGATTATTTTTCCTTCAACTTCTTCATCAGATATTTCCCTGGTTTATTCCCCCACCAGTATCCTTCCTTCGAAACCCCTATTAAAAATCTTCCTTGTTTCTTGTTCCAAAAAATCCTTTAGCGTCTATCTTTTTAATATTATCTCTTGTTGTAACTCTGTTTATTTTCTTTTTCTGTGATTGTTCCAGCTGATGTAATTCTTCCGTTAATATCCTAATTCTT